GCCTCCATTGGCTCTCGCACGCCAGCAACGCTCCAGACAAACGTCAACCATACGCATTATTCTCGTTCATGATGCGGCCACTCGTGGATCCCTTGTTGTTTGGACTTGGTACCACTTCACTTCGAGCGAAACTAGGCTCCTACTGGCCAGCCATGATGAAATGACTTCAACAACAGCGCCCTCCCAGCGGTAAAACCCGGTTCCGGCACATGGGATATGCACTTTACTCATGCAACATGGGTTTTTGCGGGCTTGGACAAAGCATAACTATCCTATTTTTCCTTCGGCCAAGGACGCAATCGGCGTAGCACAAGCCGCGAATCCATTTAGTGCCAACAACGGAGTCTCTCCCGTTGTGGAGAGGATGAGATACACTACATAAAACTGCGGGGCAATCATCGAAATCACCTCATCTCCACTTCAGGATTCCCATCATTCGATTGCTGACGTTCTGTGGCATATGTTGGAGAGTTTTCATTTGCCAGCTAGTCGAAAGATGTGCTGCGATGCGCGCAGGGCTGATAGTGCAGTACCGGTAGCCATACAACGGCACTTTTCTTACCCCTCAGTTCAGGGACAAGCTGGAAAAAAATGTGACGTTCGAGGGGATCTTTTCGATCCTAGTTCCCGCTTCGGGTAGATAGAGTTTGGCGGAGCCAGGATCGTTGAGGTATATTGCCTGGTAGAGGTAAGCGTACGTTGTCATGGCAGGTCTTTGTGGCTCCATAGTCGGCTAGCGGATGCAGAAAGCTCTAGATCGTTGACGACAGCCACATCCAACTCAACGTCAACACTATACAGAACCGTATATGCACCAATGATCCGACCCACATGAGCGTCGCGTATCCACATGGTATAGTATGAACTCGCCTCAACCTGTGCCAAGGGTGCCTTGACGCGTACACGGGGATGTGGCACCGAACAGGCAGGATATGGCGTCTGACACACATTGGCATCCCACCCTCAGTAAAGAGGTTTTGTAGAAAAAGCAATTTGCAGAAAGTCAATTGCTAATGTGCTAACATAAGGGGTGACATCTAGAACGACTCCACGGAAGCGGGATCCGTGCTAAAACGGCCGACCGAACCAAGCGCCACTCGTCGTACACGTTCCTGCATGTATTTCGTCATTACTGACCACAGCCCCGCACTAAACCACACGCGTTGAGGGGCACTCTCTAGCAGCTTGGACGCGTCGAGCTCACGGCTGCCCGCACAATTTCATACTACCATTGAACAACAGCAACAATGGGTAGTTTCGATCAAAGCAAAGCCTATGCAGCGCAAGAGGAAGAGGGTGCCTTCTTCGACGATGGGCGAGAAATTGAGCTCCTGCACTTCGTCTACTCGCACCCCAACATCGAGAAGATACGAGGATCGCCAGAAAACGTTCTGGCTGCCATTGACGAATATGGCCGCACGAAGAAGTATCTCATGAACGTCGGGGAGGACAAGGGCCGTATCGTAACAGATTTGATTGCGGAAGTAAAGCCAAATACCATGGTACGAGACTTGTCGAACTCGATTCTACGTTTCTAACACCTCGCAGGTAGAACTCGGCGGCTATGTAGGCTACTCCTGCATTCTCTTCGCAGATGCAGTACGCAAAGCAGGTGGTGAGCGATACTTCAGCTTTGAGCGTGACCCCGCTTTCGCGGCTGTCATCATGTCCTTGGTCGATCTTGCAGGCCTCACCGACCTTGTCAAAGTAGTCGTAGGCTCAAGCGACGAGGGTATCGCACGACTGGCCGCATCAGGCCAACTCAAACACGTCGATCTCATGTTCCTGGACCACTACAAGCCAGCCTACACCACAGATCTGAAGCTTTGCGAGGAACTTGGCCTGATCACCAAGGGCTCTGTGCTGGCAGCGGACAATGTCATCAAGCCCGGAAACCCGCCATACTTGAAGTATGTCAGGTCGAGCGTTGAGGAGAAGGTCAAGGAAGCAGGAGAGGGTGGGCAGACGAACCTCAGCGGCATTGCCGAGACGAATGTCAAGATGTACGAGAAGCGATATGGCAAGGCCAAGTTCAGCGAGAGCAAGGGCAACCCAAATCTCAAGTATGAGAGCAAGCTGGTAAACAGCTTTGAGCCGACTGGCGTACCTGTGAGTTCAAACACAGACGACGCTTTGCAAGCATTTACTGACTAGCACAGGATGGTATCGAGATTACACGATGCGTTGGTTAGATGGAAGCATCATCAATAGTCGGATACGCGTAATAATCTCTATGAATCGCAAGTTTCAGCGCTGGTGGGTCCTGAACGACTCAGACATGGGCATGGTACCCGACCACAGACCAGCAGGATAGCTACCGTCAAGGCTTCAATGACAGCACAAATCAATGCAATAAACAATTGAATCTACATTTGAAAGCATTTGTCGATCCATCTTTGCGAATCCGTATTGCACATATTGTGCGGGATGTCGAGAAAATAGCATGACACGTTGCATTCGAATAAACAAACATGAACCCCACGCACCCTGCATCCGCGGTACAAGCCCCTCAACATCCATCTGCCGATCGCGGCCAGATCATTGTCCCAAAATCAGGATCTACTATATACAGATCGTAAACAGGATCGTGGAGTTCCTAGTGTTCCGCAATGTCGTACATGAGTGAAGTAACAATGACGTCGAGACTAGTCGTGCAGAGCCAGCACTCCAAGGCCAACAACTTTGTCTGGGCGAACGCAGCCGCACGCACATCAATCACCTCGCCTATGCAAGAACGGGTTGCGTGACTACGAGCCGTCTGTTTACTGCCCACTAAATTCTACTTACTTGCAGTTTGCATTGCAGTGCAGCCTGCACCTTTTTTTGCAGGGGCAATTAAGTCGTTCCTCGGTCTTACTTTTGATAAGGTAGCGCCGTTGGTGGTGTGTTGGGAAACTTCTAAACGGTGAAGACTGCGCGAGAACAAGTGCCGAGGTCACGAGCTGCTCATTTTCATCAAGCAGCAACAAGGAAAAGACAATGGCAATGGCGGAAGGAAAGAAGGATTCGGTGGTGTTGCCATTTTACTATAGCCATGTGTGGAAGAATGTGCTTCTACTGGCTCTGAGCGCTGTTTGCGCGCCTCTCTCGGCAGCGCTGGTGTTGGTTGGTCTTGCAGTGTCGAAACTCCATGGACAGCGCAATGCAACGTTTTCCAAGGAGGATAAGCAGCATGTTGCAGCGGCACGGAGACGGAAAACTATTCTTGTCACAGGAGTGTCGATGACCAAGAGCCTTACTATTGCGCGCAATTTGTCTCAGCATACACCACATCGCATCATCGGCGCCGACATCTCTGCTCTATCACCAGGTCGCTTCTCCAACGCTATTGCAAAATACTACCGTCTGGACACACCAAGTGGCGACGATGCGGAGCCATATATTGATTCCATCCTCTCCATCATCCAGCGCGAGAAAGTCGACTTATGGATCAGCTGCTCCAGCGTCGTCGCAGCCGTAGAAGACGGTCAAGTCGTCCGCTTAGCAGAAAAGCAGGCCAAAGAACAAGGCCGCAAGTTTGAAGCCGTCCAGTTCCGGGAAGATGTGGTCGAAAAGTTCCACGAGAAGGACAAATTCATCGACTATATCGAATCGCTCGGTCTGCCAATCCCAGAATCGCACCGCTGCACCCACCCAGGGGAAGCCCTCGATGTGCTCATGGGAGAGCTTCACAGAACCCCGACAAAATCTGGGAGAACAGCACCCAGGCGACAATTCATCATGAAACCCATCGGAGTGGACGACAAGGCGCGAAACAACATGATGACCCTCCTCCCCTTCAAGACACCGGATGCAACAGCGCAATACATTCACTCTCTCAATATTAGCAAGGAAAACCCATTCCAACTCCAACAATTCATCAAGGGAAACGAGTACTGCACACATGCACTCGTCATCCGCGGCAAAGTAAAGGCCTTTACTAGCTGCCCCAGCCTAGAACTCCTCATGCACTACGAACCGCTACCAGCCTCCTCCCCCCTCAGCAAAAAGATGCTCGAATTCACCGAGCGTGTGTGCAAAGACGGTGGCGAAACCTTTACAGGTCATCTGAGTTTTGACTTTCTAGTCGAGAACGACGACAAGGGTGCGGCTGCGAAGTTCTACCCTATTGAATCTAACCCCCGTGCTCATACGGCTGTCGTGCTCTTTGAGCAGACGCCTGAAATGGCGGAAGCATATCTTTCCATCTTCAACAGTCCTAACCCCTTGACTTCCAAAAACAAGCCTGGCCCTGTTTTTCCTCGCACCCCAACGTACAGTTATTACTGGATCGGACATGACCTTGTATCTTTTGTCATCCTGCCACTTCTCGATCTCTTATTCGGTGCGACAACGCTGCAGAGTGCGTTCAATGATCTAGCGACATTTTGGAGTCATGTTGTGGGGTGGAAGGATGGGACGTATTTGTTTGAGGATCCAGTACCTTTCTTCGTCTTGTATCATGTTTATTGGCCGGCGAAGTTCTTGGAGGCGTTGAGAAGGGGGCAGGCGTGGAGTCGGATTAATGTCAGTACTACAAAGATGTTCGAGGGTTGAGTATGGGGTGATGGATGTGAGCTGGACGGGAGGATTAGGAAGGTGCGAGGTGGGATCGGGAGTCGGTCCAATGCATGTCAGTATGTATAATTCTAGATGATTTTTCATGAAGTGTTGTATCATTACCGTGGCATCGTCACTGGACCTAATCGTAATGTCGTGCTACCTCAACGCTGCCACTCCTTACCAGCCTAAGCTTGGGCTCTTCAATTCATCATCGCCTATCTACTACCCCTCACCACCTTTAGTCCGAACTGGCATTACTATCAGTATCCCAAACCCTGCCCAACTTCCCGTCCCTAATGCTCAACCACACCTTCTTCAACTCTGCCGAATCCCATCTAGCTCTCTTCTTCAGTTCCGCAATAGCAATCGCCATCTGCCTCTGTACGCGAGTCTGTTGGCCACACAGCGCCCGAGCCATACTGCATCGAGCGTAGCAGCGAAAAGCGACATGGCGTTTATTAGTAGTGCTGGTGAGACGACGATAGTAGCCTCTGCGCGGCTGGGATAGAGCTACTATTTTGGTCTTCTTGGACGTACGGCAAGGATGGAATGCGGTCGTGTGGGATTTCCGGGGTGTGGTACTAGAGTAGGTTTTGTAATGGTATGTTCTTCTTGTCATGATTTTGCGCTTGATGGCAAGTGGTGAGCGAACCGTGGGTTCTGCGACGTTGAGTTGGTTGTTACGTTGGTCGTTAGGTGAGGGTATTGCGAGAGAAGTTGAGTCTGTGGTACTGATGATCTGTTGGGTTAGGTCGTTTGAAGGTTGGCCTTGCCTTAATTTGCCAGCATAGAGGGCGAGGGCGTATTGAGAGATGGTGCCATATACAGGATCGCTGATCTGCTCGCATAGGCTAGGAGTATAGGCTGGGCCGTTCTCGGTGTCTTCATCTGCTTTGTGCTTGCGCTTGACGCCTTTCTTTCCGTTTTCCTTGTGTAATGAAACCCTACCGTTCTGAGTTCCGATGACATCTATAATTGCTGTAGTTGCCGGCTTGTTTAACATGCCTCTCAGATTGTTATTTGAATGGTCTGTTCCTGTGAGCTGGTTGCCAGGCGTATACTGTGGATCATCTACTGAGTCTCCATCTGCCTCAAACTTGTGCTTGACTCGATGATCGCCGTCGTCATTACGCAGAGTAGTATTGGAATCGACATTGTCGTCAGCAGTTTTGAGCACCACCTTCTCAACTTGAGCGACGGTGTCGTCGACGGTAGATGTGTCCCTGCCCGCCTCTTCAGCAGCATACGAAGCCTTGAGACCCTCCCAATCTCCCTTGACCCGCAACTTCGCGCGCTTCAACTCCACATCACCTTCACTACGAGTTAAATCCTGGATCATCTCCGCGACACGTCGAATCTGTTTCAACGGCACGACCTTGGTAGACAGCTGATACCCAGCACCTTCCTCAGCTTCTGCTTCCTCTCCTTTCTTAGTTTTTGGATCGATTTGAAGCGCGCGGAAGAGATCAGTTATCAGTTGAAAGTTAGGGGGATCTGGATCAGCATTCATGTCTTCGGCGCGGAAGCGCTGGACTTGATCACTCATCAGCACTTCCTTACGGATACGCAGAACGAGGTCGTAAGCGCGGCGGTAAAAGGAAAGGAAGTCGAAATTACTGTGCACCTCGTTCTCTCGTAGTTCTGATTTCATTGTACCGAAGAGTTTGGCGTGGGTCTCATCTTGCTTGTCGAAGTCGGGTCTGTGTACCCTGGATTTGCTCTTTCCTTTTCGCCTTGGCTTTGGAGGCGCGATATTGGCCGCTAGGTTCGCGAATGTATCTCGTAGGCCCTTCCTATCTTGAGTAGCTTCCTGACAGTCATCATCTGGTGTCTTGTCGGTATCCTCGCTTTGTCCATAGAGGTAGTTAAAGACTGCGTGACGCCTCAGCCAACGATCGTTGTCCGCATCTGAATCGTAGTAGTCGCAGATTTTGGCTTCCAAAGGCAATTCGGGTTGCAAACCACGCTTGGCACCAAGTTCTCTCGAGATTTGAGGTAGAAATTCGGACGTGTGACGGAAGTCTGAAGCCATAACGCGACTGCTAGTGTTGCCCGAGAGGAGATAGCGGTTGAGGAAGTCGTTAGGGTGAGTAGGTGGATCACCCCGGAACATAACCTTGGCCCCATATATCATGATCAGGTAGTCCAGGTCTGACCATAGAATCTCCAGACCACCCATCTGGCAGGCGGCGTTGTATAGATGGGCCATACCATGAATGAACCATTGTATCTTAGCAATCGCAGTATGATGATAGATAGAGTTAAAGTGCCACATAGAGAGTCCTGCGAGCGTCGAGTGGACAGTGATGAAGACGCTAGCAGTCATTAGCTTTTCTTGAGAGTTCAAAAGCTCTTGTAGCCACTCTAACAGCCTGTCTAGAGGATTGAGAAGGATGGTGCTAAATTTAATCTCTTCTTTGCACATGTAATCTGGCTTTGTGCCCTTGGCCCACGTGCGATCCTCGTAATCGACATGATAACGGATACATCTAGCGATATCCAAACCGTGCTCGGTAAGGTCGCGTAACATCCGACGGTAGTCCTCACGTACAGCTTCCTGGATGTCAAGGACAATGGCCAAGCCGAACAGCAGGTAGTCCTGTGATGTACTCTGGTGCAATAACATCTCTTCAGTAAAGTGATCCCACTTAGGAAGTTTGAGACCGCCCTTGCGAATGACGTCGAAGAACTTCAAGAAGAGCATGAGAGGATGCTCTCGTATATCTTCGTCAGCACTGTCCTCTGTTGGGTATGTCTTCGTAATGTAGGTTTTGATCAAAGCAGCAGCATCCAGACCGAACAGGTGGCGCAATACCTTTTCAGCAGGTAGTGTCGCAGAATTTTGCGCCCCAGTCTCAAGAGCAGCTTTGGTTTTGTTGAAAAGTTGGTGGATGAGTATGGCCAATTCTCCAGGTAGCAGATCAAGCTCTTCCACGAGTGACTTGACGTTTTGGTTCATTTGGTCCTGAGCCAGGTCTGATACCAACGCTGCTGTGATCGAATTGACAAGGCCCTTGTGGTAGAGCACCCAAACCTCGTAGAGGACATCTCGTATGCGGTTGAAAGTGTAGAGAAAGCAGAGTATAAGGAATTCGCGGCGCAGCTGCTCTTCCTCTGCAGTCAGCGGATTTGTCTCTGATATTGGTGCCTTCTTCTTCGTCCTGGATGTCGGAGTTTGTTGCTGCTGACCATCACTCTCCATGTCGCATTGGTCCTGTTCCCGCATTTTCTTGAGCAAGTCGTCTTGTTCATCTTGGCTTGTCTTGGGACCAGTGGGAAGCTGAATGAACACGAATGTGGGCGTGTCATTCTTGCGATTTCGAGCTTTGTTCATTCCAGGGACGAGAACTCTCAACGACGCCATGAGCGTCTCTAGGCTCCCGTTGAAGTATTCGTGACCCAAATCCGCCGTGTTGTTGTGTTTGTGGTATTGCGTCACCTCTCTCCTGGAGCGGATGGCATCTTCGAGGTCGTTGATACCGGAGGTGTCGGCAAGTGGAACGCTTGTAGCAGTGATGGCGTTGACGAGTTGCTCCTGCTCTTGTAGTGTTATTCTGTAGCCCTTTTTTCTCTTTTTCTTCTTAGCCTGGTCTGCGACTATATTTGCGAGTTCCACGCCGCGCTGAATTCCCGTCTTGAGCAGCCATGCCTGAAACTGTTCGGTATACGTTTTGTAACGCTTGACTGTCTCGGGAAGTTCGTTCCGTCGGTAGTAATCCATCTTGAAAGAGAATTGGAGAGGTGGTTGAGAAAATGAATGTGGTTGGTAAAGACCATTGAGAAGAGTTGAAGGCAGTGGATTTAGCTGGCGAAGTAGCTTAGCGAGTGCTCTAGAAAAGCTCCCGAGAAAGTATCTGTGCTTTCTGATATCAGGAAGAATGAGTAACGATTATAGAATAAAACGTTAATGGTAGTGCGCTCACGGGCCGCCAACTTACAGTCAGGTATTGCGCAAGATGACAGTTCCGTTCGCGATAATGCAGTCAAGACCCGCCTAGATCTTGCTGTCGCGTGATAATACTTGACGCAACCGAGTGGTAGTCTGGAGATTCCGAGCTCGGTGGTTCATACCCTTGCTATGCGCTAACGCTCGCACGTCTCAAACCCAGATACACAAAGTGAAAGGAGGGAAAGGCCTCGTCACTAGAAACACCGAAATCCTTCTTATGTCCTTCAAGGCTAGCGTCGTGGCCATTAAGGGCATCGCTTCATCGTTAGCAGTAAAAAAAGGAGTCGGCCGCTGTGGTCCATCAGAAGCCGTCGTAAAAGGCGCGGGATTGAACAGTATCCATTCACATGTCCGCCCAGAGAACGTCTTACTCTACAACAACGAGCGCCATTCCCTACTTTCCGGCCTCTTGATTCCCAAATGATCACACATCAGCCCCATATGATCAACGCCCCAAAATCCCTCAGTCTCCCCCTTTTCATTCGTAGCAACAAACCAAGGCAGGCCAAAAGCCCCATCCTCAAACGCCTTGGTCGTATTCCCACCTAGCACCTTCTTCACCTCCTCCGTCTTGGTCCTCTCTAGCACCTTGCTTGCCTCCTCCTCACTACCCAAGGCAACTGCGAGAATAGCAAGCAGGTTCTCCGGCTTGATTGGATCATTCCATTTTGCCCAGAAGTTTTCGTAAAACAGGGCGATGGCTTGTTCAAGGGCTTGGGGATGCGACAGAGAGAGGGAAACTAGGGCGCGTTGGATAGGCAGTGTGTTGATGGGGAAGCCAGGTGGAGTATCTTGCGAGATGGGGACGTTAAAGTGAGTGGATAGGCGCTGACGCTCTGTGTTTATCCATTTGTCCTTGTCTGATTGGGTGTGTTAGATGGTAAGATAAGCAGTTGCAATGACGGTGACTCCGATGATGGTCCACCAGGTGAGCCGTTTGTTGTATCTTTTTCTTTCGTGTTGCGCTTCCCCCTTACTGTGGCCAAGCTAAGCTGCTCTTTCAAGAGAAGGGGAGATCCGACATACTTTTTATCCTCAATGGTGGTGTATTCTCGCAGACCTTCATCAACCCCCCAAGCAGAATAGGCACATACGTCACCTCAACCTGCTTAAAAACCTTTGAGTTCTACTCGGAATGCTCTTGTTAGTACTGTAGTGCATGATTCTAGCACAAAAATCTGGATTTACGTAGGACACATGGTAAAGCAACTTACTTTCAAGATGTAGAAAGCAATGTAAGCAAACGGGCTGACAATGTCAACGTAAAGGGTAATCTTCGGCTGAGCCATGGCTGGTTGGATTATTGCAGAAGTCAAAAGGGGATTACTGATCTGGAGTGGAGATGAGACCGGGGGTGCCTTTGTTCCTGGCACCTTGCTCTATGTAGGTGGTTGGTGAGGAGACGAGGCCGGTGATCTCATAGCCGATCGGATTAACCGAGGCACAATCGGCCGGCGTCTATCCTTGACGCAGGCAGACAAGTACCACATTAGAGAAGGAAAATCCTGAAATTGTCAAATATGGTATTCATATCGAACCTACAATAACCCAGCTACTCGCCGGAATCTTGGTGCCAGGCTAGCTGCCTTGAACATATTACTCCTAATCAACCATGACGATATCCCTTTGAAGACCCAGCTGCGAAGTGCCGTTCGTAATAGCCTTGACTTCACCCGCAACCTCGTCCATTTCCTTGAGAGTAAAGTCCAATAAGTAACTCTCATCAACCAATTCCTCTACTCGCTTGTAGTGCCTCTCAGAGTACACCTTGATGGCATCCATCACATCTTTCAGACTGCCCTTTGCGCCAACCTTGCCCTGCGGCCTCAGACTAGCTAGTCGAGAAGCGGGATATGACTTAACAATAGTCCACAGAATCTTCTGAGCGATGGGTGCAGTACGCACGTTGGTATTCCAGTCGCGGAGGCGGATGAGCAGTTTGTACAGCTGTTCGTCTGCTAAGGAACCGAGGACTTCGTCTACGGTGATGAGACCTGAGAGACTGTCTGTATCTGGGTTCTCGGTTTCCACCACAGATTTAAAGAGGGAGAAGAGACGGGCGGGCTGGTCCATCTGGAGTGCAAGGACGATAGCTTCGCGATAGTTGCCGGCGTAGGTGTAGTTTTGTAGTTTTTGATCAAGTTCGACGCGTTCTGTTTCCGCTGTTGTGGCAGCTTCCAGCGTGGTGCTCGTCGTATCTTCCCAAAACGTGATGACACTATCTCCACCACCAGACACCAAGGCGCCCGTTGTGGGGTGTGCGACAAGTGCCCAGACACGATCAGTGTGGTTGTCAAGTGTGGACATGGCCTCACCGGACACTGTATCCCAGATCTTGACCAGTCCGTCACCAGCTGCAGAAGCTATTTGTGGGCCACGCTTGTCTCGTGCGTCGACGGGTCGATAGGGCAGCCACGACAGCTTCAGTACACTGTTTGAGTGGCCTTCTAAAGTTAGTAAACAGCTGTAGTCTGCTAGACTCCAGATCTTGACCGTCTTATCTCCGCTGCCTGTTGCGATCAAGCCCTTGTTTCCTGAGTTTGGCGCTTGCGAGTCTTTGGGTGCGAATTTGACTGACCACACACCACGTTTGTGACCTCGGAGGACACCAATAGCCTCTCCTTCTGCTGCGGAGTAGATCTTGACCGTACGATCCTGCGATGCGGACGCAAAAAGACTTCCAGAGGGGTCGATGTCGATGGCATTGATGTCTTTGTCGTGTGCTTTGCGGGTGTACTTGGCTCGCAGTTTACCCTTCATCTCTTTGGTGGTATCCCAACGCTTAACTGTCCTATCTTGAGAGCCGGTCACAATATACGCAGGTGGGTGTGACAAAGGGTCTGTGAAAGCGGCTGAGGATTCCTGGGGTATGGTGTGCGGCAGTGCAATCGCTCCAAGCGACTCGGCATGACCTGTGAGGACTGCAGCACAGGTATACGATTCGTTAGCGGGGTCGAGACGCCATAACCGTGCTGTGTTGTCTTTGGCACCTGTGACAAGCCAGTGGCCTGACCAATCTACATCTAGGCAGATGACAATGTCTTCGTGTCCCTTTAGCAGTCCGACATCGGCACCAAAGTATTTGCCTTGGGTCGCGTCTTCTGCGTCGGATTCGTTGAGTGTGATTATCCGAATATCCTCTGAGTTGGTGTTGAGTGCCAATAGGGACTTGTCTCGGCCAACGTAGGCGATGTCAATGACCTCGTCGTGGGTTCCGGAAACGCGGCGGAAGATGGGCAGCGGGTCGATGGTCTCTTCTACGACGAGTGACTCTGCTGTTTTGAGGGAGTAGAAGTTGAGCACTTGGTCAGCGTGCACCGAGATCAAGTAGGGCAATGAAGGATAGTAGAGGATGTTGACAATCTCATCCGTCTCGGATCCAGGCTCTTGCTCTCGGGTGAGCTCTCTTCCACTGGAGGCTGACCAGAGTCGTAGTCGGCCGTTCTCTCCACCAGAGTACAGGATCTTGCCGTCTGCGATGAAGCCTGCGCTCTCGATGCCCTCTAGAGTAGCAATGGTGCGTTGCGCCTTCCACTTGTGTGAGTCCCAGACAATCAATGTCTTGTCTCTGCTGCCAGACAGAAGGACCTTCTCTTGCGGCGAGTACTGTAACGAGCGAACGACGGAGACGTGCGAGTCGAGGACAGCAGTGCTCTTTCTCTTGTGAAGATCCCATATCCGTATTTTGCCGTCTTCGGCACCAGAGGCCAACCGAAACTGTATCTGAGTCTCGCCCTGAGCTTGATCCGACTCGGCGCCTTCCTGCCGCGACTTTCTCTTTCTCTTTTTGTTGTTTTCCGAGGCGTCGTCACGCTCGGCTACCTCTACCTCGAAGAAGTGCAGGGCCGAGACGACTCCACCATGGCCGTGGAAAGTGTGTGTTGTGTAGCCACCGACAATGTCCCAGATCTTGACCACGCCGTCGGCGCCGCCGGTGGCTATCAGTGTGCCCGTGCGATCTGTGGCTAGCGTGACGACAGGAGACGTGTGTGGGCGTAGTGTTCGGAGAAGGTCGAGCTCGATGACTTGGTCGTCGGTGTCAGAGGGCCTGAGGGCGAAGAGGCGCATGGAGAGGGAGCGCGAGCACACTACGAGATGAGATGCGGACGGGGTCAGGGCCAGGGCCGTGATTGCCTCGCCGTCTCCCTCGACCCTGGCCAGCTCCTGGCCGTTGGTGAGGTCGGAAAGAAGGACATCCTCGCCCAAGCTCGCGGCCAGAATGCGCCCGTCTTCGCTGAGGGCCAAGCTGCCTCCCGAGTAGATTGGCTGCAGGGTGCGAGCGACCTCGTACGTCGTCTTGACGGCAGCTCTTTGGGCCGACATGGTGGATTGTGGACTTGGTAGCGTCGCGTCTCTGCCGAGAGAGGTGAGGGAAGTGTCGCAAAGTGCTCGAGGAAAAAAGTTTATCGATAACGGCAGTCGCAAGCCACGCGCGCTGACGTTTGGCGCCGGCGCGTCTCCCCCCGGCCGCCAACTCGGCTTCTGGAGCATGCGCCTATATTGCATTGTTCAAGATGCAGTCACCTTGTTCTACTGCGTGCACCTGATCAAAGTTGAATTTTGTCAGCACCACCATGGGCCGGCAAGCCTACCTGGACAAGATCGCTTTCGTACACACGCCGCCAGCCAGCGCAATGCTCGAGGACATGTCTGACACGCTTGCTAGGGACGGTCTGCCTTTGAGCCCACCCAATCCGCCTCGCAGTCGACCGAATACGTCCAGCTCGAATCGTCGCAGTCCGAGATTCCACGGCGTTACCACGAGGCCACGGCCAACAACTACGTCCAGCTCTACGACGAGCGCGGCAACCCCATCAACCCCCGCTCCCACCAGTATGGCAAGAAACTCAGAGGCGCCCAAAACGATGTGCTCGCGTCTGTCGGCGTCGTCGAGCGCAGACACTCTCCCGCCGACGCCTTTCCAGGGTCCAGCGTAGAGCGTCTCGAGCTGCTCGAAGCCGAGGATACGGTTGGAAACGCCATTGCGCTGGCGACTACCCTTACCGAGAACCTTTGCACATGGTGGATAGGCTCAATCAGGGAGAGGATCCTGACATTTCGCTATCCCCATGCCCTTGCCTTCAGCCACATCGCAGCCTCGGAGCGTGCCCTCTCTGGCACTTCCATTGTCTATGCTGGCTTCTTCTCTCGCGTCTTTGCGACCATGAACATCCAAGCCATCGTGTACAGCACTTTTGTCTATCAGCCCGTCGAACGTGTGCTGTATGCGACACGTGCCAGCCCAAAGACCCGCCACTTCTTCCGACGAGCCAAGAAAGCCATCAAGTCTAGGTAGGTCCCACGTTCGCCTTTCTACTTCTCGTTAACCCCGTTAGTCTTCGTCTGGGCCTCGAGGTTCTGTGCTACCCCTTCTTTTACCACGCTGCTTTGCAGCGCCTTGGCCTGGTGCCCGCTCGCCCACTATTGCCAAACTGGACATGTCTCATTCCCTTTTCAAGCTCATCGCCTCTGCTACCATTTTCTGTGCGATACAATGCGTCCAGTTCCATCACGGACTGTATTGGAGCAGTGCTGACTTCACCCCTTGTCCTTTTATGTGCTGAACATGCCATTGAACGCTGGATTTATGCCTGTGTCTACGAAGCAGTCGAGACAGCCGTCGTCCGCCCTGACAAGCCCGACATACCCAGCCGAGACGCCAACGGAAAAGACCGTGCTTTGACTGTGCTCGGGTTGCGGCGGGAGTCACCAACCCTTATTCGCAATGCCATTCACAGGCTACTTGCAATGCTCGGCTGGGCTCTTCCAAGTTCCTCTCCAAACACACAACAGAAGCGGACCATCGAGCTTGCAACCACGGCTGCTTCAAACAATGGCCAGACAATAGAAGTCGGTGGTACTCAAGTGATCAACGCTACCCCGCTGCATCTTCCCGTGCTCCAGTCCCAAGATCAGCCTGTCACAGAGCCGCTCGACGCAGATGTAATCACAATTCCAATAGATGCGTTCCAAGATTTGATACGATCCACAACTCCACCGGGATCACCAACAGAATCCGAGCAAAACGAGAACGATCCTCGAATACGCATTACTTCAAGGGAAGGTATCGTAGAGATGGAAGTCCGCCTACCACCTAGGATACTTTCCACTCATACTCGTGTTGCAGAAGCCTCGGGTTCCTCGCGAGATGATGCAGCTGTGGAGCCGCGGGACCGAGCACGCTCAATAGACGGCCATGTATACCACCGCGTATCCCAACTCTCGTGTGAGCCTGCGCAGATGATCAGTGCAATGGTGAGAGCTCAGCTTGTCGGTCTTGCCATGCTTCCGTTTAGGATGGTTACTTTGCGAATGATTGCTTCACACCATCTAGTCAGCCAAGGCGAATACGCGGGGTCGCATCGCATTGTGAATCCACTAGAGCTCCATGGCGATATGAGCTGGCGGAACATTGGCACCCAGCTCTCACGCGTAGCGCTCTGCGGGGCACTGGAGTTGGCTATCGATCTCAGTTTGTGGGGAATGCAATATCAGGCCATTACAAAGTTTGGACAGAGTGTCTTCGGATGGGGTACGCTATAGGCGAGTCGCTCGCTTCGTATACAGCGTCAGCACCAGTGACATGCTCTTGCATTGCACTTGGACTTACCACTCAGGCGGGACATTCCTGAAGTCTACATGTTCGGTAACACCCGATGCAATGGCCGTAGGGTGGCACCTTTGTGCGTTTCACGAGCAACTAGACTCGACTGCCGGCATGGAGAATGCTCCGAAGAAGAAGAAGCAGTAAGCAGTGCACAGCAGCGTCCCCACGATTCCAACGGGTTGGCTTTTTATTGGTCACCGCCGCTATGGGGCATACTTGGTCTCGAGTCAAGTGGATAGACGTTTGAGCGGATCGATCATGTTTGTTGGGGCATGCGCACAGAGGAAGATTGCCGGCAGACGTTTGCAAGACATGATGGTGACTCGGAAGGCAAACGCGGCAGCACGTGCAATGTGGCGCTCCTCCCGCCAGCGCCAACGCGTTCGTCTCACGAGGCTGGCGCTATGCAACGCAACTAGCACAACTGATTGGGGGAGCGAGATGCGACGTCGAGGTTTGGTCAACAAAGGCTTTGTGACACGGAGATTGCGAATGGTTCTGTAGTAGAGCAATGGCATGTCGCAGGGGCAGAGAAGCGAAGGATGGTCGGCATGATTGCCTGTGCAGGGGCGGATCAGCAGGGATCGCCTCTGGGGCTTTACAAATACCGTTGACGCAAGTCGTCACTACAGAAACGTCGCTACCAGAAAAACCGTGAGATTCAGATAGAGCAGCAGTGTGCACGGCGCGCGGTGCAAGGCCAGATAGCGCGCAGAGGGTTAGGCAAAGGTGGTCGGAGGACTGGTGCCATAGGACAATGGTATATAGCCGGAATGCTACGCGAACAGAGCCGGGCAAGGGTCTGCAGATAGCAGCTGTGGGTGCGGATATGTACGCTTGGACTGAGGCTGGCGGAGGGCTAACGTCTTTGGTGCGTAGAGGCAACATGGGGGGAACAAGTTGAACCCACCAAGAGTTGACGACTGAACCCCTTTTCCACCCTTTCCCAGGGTCGGGAGAGGGTCTTGTGTCTGATTTCTTCAGCCGTCCCCACAGCGCAGCCGTCGAGAGCGATTTGCCGCCTCCCACTCGTTCTTTGCTTTGCACGGAGTTTTCGTCGGTCGTTCCTTTGTCGGGCCCCTGCACATGCACCGAGTCCCAGGGGATATCCACGCTTGGGCTTTTCGGCGGCCACCATCCTACCATCCATCCCATCACCGCTCCTTTTTCCCCACCACGCCAGCACACTGCTGCCGACCTCTTACTCAGACACGCCGAGTGCTGTTGTATCGCATCTTCACCCTCGCTTCCGCCCTCGACGCCCTCGACGTTTGCCAGAGCGCGCTCCAGCCTCTTGCGTCAAACGGCAGTATCCACTGCACCTACCCGTCTCCGCTGCATTACATTCGCGCTTGCTTCCCGCATCCAGGTCCCTGCCTGTCTGTCTGAGACTGACGCACACCCAACCAAGCCTGCCTCTCTCCCCTCCCCGCAATACACAGCCAGCTCAGACTGCTTCCCCGGCCTGTTCGAATTCCGGTCACGACTACTGGAGGGCCACGCCGGACATGTGCACTGTGGCATAGGCCACCTGGAAAAACAAAGGCAATCGGGCCAAACACTGCAGCGCCAGCACCCTTCCAGCCTGCAGTAGCACTCGAACATACGCGCCACCCCCATCACCATGTCGGCCAACTCGCTGCCTCGCCCCTCGCGGCCGTCGATTGCTCCTCCCACCGGTCCCTTGCCCTCGCTGCCCGTCCCCAAGCAAAGAAGCTCCAATGTCGGTCCGACGACGCGAGCCTCGTTGCTCCCAGGCGCCGCCAATACACGCGCTGTGTCTTCGTCGTCGCTACCCTACAGGCCAACTTCCAAGCACCTCACATCGCCGTCCGTGCCGTCATTCCCACCCGAGGCTGGTGCCGCCGGATCGCTGCCCGTTGGAAAATCGCTGCGCAAGACAGTCAGCATCGGTTCCTTTCCACAACCACCCAGACATGGTGGGCGATCGAATCCAACCAGTCCGCTGTCGACGAGTTCGACGCCTGGAGGAGACATGGTCGATCGGAGAGTGTCGTCAATATCCAAGGGTCAAACGCCTTCCAGGAATAACAGCCTTAAGAAGCCGCGAAGCTCTAATATTGGAGCGCGAGGTTTACTACCGAAATCACCCCTATCACCCCCCAGTCTACTCAATGGAAGCGCAGATTCCGTCACAGTAGAGACAGCCCACCTCAGTCTCCCCTCACCACCGCAGAGTCGCAACTCTTCACCCCAGGGATCGTACGCAACCAGCGCAACCACATTCGAGGAAGGGGAAGATGGACGCGCAGATGGCAAGGTACACAAGGACGGCAAAGGCAATGTCATTGTCAGCGTTCGGGTACGGCCTGATGCTGGGGCCAAAGACAACAAACACGACTTGGAGTGGGAGGTTAACAACAAGCGCGCACTGATAGCCTACAAAGGCAAAGAGGGCGGAGACTACATATATGGTATGGTTGCATAACGAAGTGGAGGGTGACTGAGCTGGAGCTAATTTGGTCTGACATAGACAACGTATTCGATACCCAAGACAACAACGCCCGCGTATACGATGCTGCAGCCAAGCGACTTGTCCGGAGGGTCATGGAGGGCTACCACGGCACCGTCTTCGCCTACGGAATGACTGGAACCGGCAAGACGTTTTCTATGCAAGGAACTGCAACAAATCCTGGTGTCATACCACTTGCCATCACCGATATCTTCTCTTACATTCGTGAGACGCCTCAGCGAGAGTTTCTTCTGAGAGTCAGTTACATTGAAATCTACAATGAGAAGATTATCGATCTGCTAGCGGGACCCGTTGTAGGCATGAACGGCCAGACCGGGCCCGTTGAAGAGATCAAGCTACGCGAGGACAGCAAACGTGGTGTCTATGCGTCGCCACTAAAGGAGGAAATCGTGCAGAGTCCGACGCAACTCCTGAGGGTTATTGCACGAGGTGACAACTCAAGAAAGGTGGCGGGTACCCAGTTCAACGCGCGCAGTTCCCGAAGTCACGCCGTGGTCCAGATTGTCGTTGAGAGTAGAGAGCGCGCTCCCGGCCCAGCAATAAATGGCGACAAACGGTCAGCCATTGTCCCTGGTGGTGTCCGTGTCTCGACGCTCAGTTTAATCGATTTGGCTGGTTCTGAAAAGGCGGCTGATAACAAAGAAAGGCGGACTGAGGGTTCCCATATCAACAAGAGTTTGCTTACTTTGGGTACAGTCATTGGCCGATTGGCTTCCGATAAAGACAAGTCTGAGAAGGACAAGGGCAAGGGCGACAAACATTTGCCATACCGAGACAGCAAACTGACCCGACTTCTTCAACCTGCCCTCTCCGGTAACTCGCTGGTCAGCATTCTCTGTACAATCCAGATCGGAGCCAGTGGGAGTCCTGCTGCTGTCAATAGTCACACAGGTGAGACGCTGAATACTCTCAAATTCGCCTCCAGAGCCAAAAACAATATTGTCAGCCACGCCAAGAAGGCCGACGAATCTATGGGTGCTGGTGGGGACGCAGGAAGTCGAGCGCTTCTAGATCGCTACCGCCTGGAAATTGAAGAACTCAAGAAGCAGCTCGCTGAAGGCAAAAACAAAGAACCCAAGGAAGAAGAAGATGACGAGCTGAAAAGAGACAAGGAGGAAGAAAAGGCGCGCGAACTGGAAGACAAGCAGCGGCATGAAGAGCAGATGCTTGAGATGCAACTAGCCCGAACAGCCCTAAAGGAGCGGATCGAGCATCTTAACAGGCTGATTTTGAGCTCCAAGTCTATCGGTGTCAACAATGGCCGATCATTCTCTTCAATGAGCTTCCAGCGCGGCTCCATCATGAGCACCAACCACCACGACATGCGCCCAAGCTCTATTCGCTCTTCTGCTAGCCATGCGACCCTCGAGGTTCCCGGTAAAAGACAAAGCACACCACACCTCCACATGGACGGCTCTGAGGAAGACGACTCGGTTGGGGAGAATGGAGATGGTAGTGCAAGTCAGACGGTGCAGATCCAAGCACTACAGGCTGATCTTGCGGATAAGAACCGTTACATCGCTACCCTTGAAAAGCGCCTGTTGCACGCTCGGCGATCGAGCCATTCTCGTGTCTCCATGTCATTGTCACACAAGCTCACAAATAGTGAGGAGGGTGGTATGATCGCAGCTCTTGCCGAGAGAGACAACGAGATAGTCAACCTGCGCGCACAGCTTGAGGATAAGGAGCGTATGATCGGCGCCCTCACATCAGCTCGCAAGAAGAACGACACTGCACATGAGATGGGCAGCGAGTCACCAGGCAGCCGGCGCACCTCGGGTTATCAGCGCAGCGGCAGTGATGGTAGCGGGATTAGTTTACCGAAAGGTCCAACGTCGCCTGCACTCAGTGTAAAGACGCCCTTCCTACCCCCTCCAGTTACCAACGGCTCTACCAAGAATATCGAGGAGATGACGCGTATGCTAGACGAGATGATTACTGGTCGCGTTGAAAAGACTGCCAGGCGAAGCAGTCTCAGACCAGTCACCGAAGGACCATGATCTTACCCAACGCAGAAGATGGTGAGAGTCAGGTACGAATTCTTGCTTGGACGAACAAACGAACCAGTTCAGCCGGGTATGAAACGAAGTACAGTAATGAGGATGAGGCGAGAACGTCAGCAACGAGCGGCGCGCGGGTGTGGCATCGTACTTGCACTTTTCCCAATCCCATCCAGCAAACAACATGTTCATTCACAAAGGGACAAGACATTAGCGACAGGCGTTTAATCGGGGAAACGGAGTAATGATTTGAGCCACCAGGCACATGGACTGGTAGGAAAATTCGGCGCAAATAGCCGTGCATGGGATTTTTATGTTACGCACATGGGTTATATCCAAGGGGGGCGGCTTTCTGGCTGCTGCTACTGCTGCTGCTTGTTTAATTCACATTTGCGATATGGCGAGCCCTCCTGGTGGAAGGGGATTTTGTAACACTACTACTTTTTTCTTCTTGTTTTCTATTCTCTTCGTCTTCTTCCCCTGTGCCGACCGAGGGACTTTCGATCTGATACCCAAACCCCCCACCCCATCTTTTACATAGCTTGTCGTTGAATTGTGTTCTTGTTGCGCTAATGAATACAATGTGGGAGCTATAAATGAAGGCTTTCACACCTTGTTCTCGACAAGATTGTGTGTTTTTGTGTGATGTGATTTTAACAAGCCGTATTGATGTGTAGACAACTTGGTTGCACAACGTCTCGAGGTCTATACGCAATACGATAAGCGCTACCTTACTAATTGTGAGCACCGTCATCCGCAGGATTTTGAGACGCCAACACGCTAGCAATTTGCAGATATGTACTCCGAGGTTTGTTCATAGTACGTGGTGTGGGGCACAAACTTGTCGTGCCTCGGGATCCTGAAGGAGACCATACAGCTGCTATCTAACCTAGGTACTTTTTACATAGTCGCCTCTCGTAGGATTCCAGGGAGTCAACATGCTAGCAATCTATAGATACTCCGAAGTTGTTTATAGTACGTGGTGTACGGCACAGCAGAGCCTACTTGCCGTGCCTCGGGATCTTAAAGTTGATTGCCAGCTGCCGTCTTACTGCATGTCCAGCATGACATTCTCAAATAGCAAACTTCCTTTAATACGTGTGCATATACATCTGACTACATGCCCTTTACCCTAAACTTGCAGCAGACAAATCAGCCTACCTTTGCAAAGATCCCAAGCCACCATTGGTGTGGTGTCACTGTCATGTGGTTTTGGCTGCTCAACTCTAGCATCAAAGGCGTTTAGCGCCGGAGCGCGATCAGTCGACTAAGCACCAGTGCGTCAACAACGTTGCACTAGAGGGGCATTCTGAAACAACGACGCCCTGGCCCGCGCACATGCGGCAAAATGAGGTCCCCTCCTGCGCCTTCCGCATTCTCGCTGTAACCTTCCTGGATCAAGCAAGTGCGATCTCTGCAATCTTACCTTTGATCCTATCTTGGTCTCCGCAGCGCTTCTCGAGTCGTCGCTTCTATACCCTTGGGCCGCTTACTGGCTTTATCCGCTGTGCAAGGGACTCTCGGGCGCTCCTTGATGGAGATCATTTTACGGCGGGATCCTGCTCGGACATCGGATTGTTTCTGGTTGTGAAACTCGTCGTGCACCAGGAGGGGCCTTCTCTTCAAGACACGCCTTAGGTTTGCCCGCCCTTTCGAATGGCTTCTTGAACGTCCTTCTACTCCTTCTTCCTTTGATTCGTATCTTGAGCGAACGAGGGGATTGAGTTATACATTCTTGTACTTTATTTTTCTTCTACTTGTTTTGCTTGTTTGATAGGCGGTGCCTACGTCCCCTCCTTTGACTACTATCACATCTTTACTTGCTTGTTGGAGCGTTCTCTGCAGGGTCAGAGGTGACGTTTACCTACTTGCATATATCGGCATTACAGCTTCGTCATCACTGTAGCACTGTGCACTGCAGAAAGCCGTTCGACTTGGCCGTACCCTACATTCTCCCTCTTTCCACGAGCGGTGACGACGCGCACGCCCATCACATCAGTCTACCGGGTGTCTCGCATTCGACATGCTAAACCAGGCTGCGAAGAAGCTTTCCAAGATGCATGTTAGACGGAATCCGAACCTGTCTATACAGTCGACAGCGCACTATTCACAACTGAGCCCGCCACCCCAGTCTGCTACCTCTAGTGCTTTCCTCTCTCCCACGGTCCCCTCGAGACGTGGCCTACTTGCGAGATCCCCACCACCGAGTCCGAGCCTTCCTAGTCTGCTGCCAAAGCATGGAAAGAAGACTACACAGCCGAGTCATTCAAAGTTGGTGAAGCGAATACTGATAGGCTGCTGCGGTGTAGCATTCCTACTATGGATTGTGCTGAGGCAGATATACGCCAACTCGCAAGGAGCGGCAACTTATGAGGATGGCAACGAAGAAGAATGGGAGATGGTTGGTGGCAGTCAGTTGCCGCATGAACCTGTCGCCCTTGCGCTGCAGGACGCAAAGGGAAAGATGAGGTGGACTGTATCCATACCATCCGACTATGAATTCCCGCTTCGTCCGGCGCAGTACCGTGATATCTGCCATCAATCTATGGAAGTCTCGAAAGAAATCAGACAGGAAGCGAAGGCTTCGGCTGGCTTTGCGAAGAGAATGTTGAACTACTATCAACAAGACCAATATTACATTGATGTCCAGGAAGCGGAACAACAAGGACTGTTGCCACCATCTAAGGCTGCTGGAAGACCCAAAAGCTTCGTAGAGGACGAGGCTATCCGGGATGGTATCTCTACGGAAGGACTCAAGGTCTGTGACAGGACTTTGACATATGTCATGGAAACGGAGGATGCAGGTTTTGGCAACACGCTGATGCGTTTGTGGATGTCGTATGGTTTGGCAAAAGCCGAGAAGCGCGCCTTTTTCGTTGATGACACTCGTTGGTATGTATCTACATTTCTGACTACCGGATGATTGACACTGACACTACCGCCAGGCCGTATGGCAAGTACTCCTCTTACTTCCAGCCTCCCCCTTCCGCAAACTGTCTCCCTCCTCCCCCATCTCACATCGTCCCCTGTCCTCACACTGCCCGACACATCGTCGTCAGCGGAGCGACGTTGAAATCCACCTTTGGACATGCCTTTACCGACGAGTGGGAGGATCCAACAAAAATGGGTGTGCAACGCCAATCGAAAATCTTCAACCTCGCCCGAACAGGCTATGAGGCTCTCTTTAAACTTCGCTCAGACGACGAAACCTACGTCCTCCAACGAGCGCTGGAAATGTACGGTGAAGTTAAGAGCGAAGGCGGCCTCAGCATCGCCATGCACGTCCGCCACGGCGACAAGCACCCCATGGAATACCAGTACCAAAAGGACTACATCCCGCTAGCCCGCTACGTCGACACCGCCCGCGATCTCTACATCGATCTTGTCGAAGGCGGACTAAAGAAGAAAATGGCCAAACGCAATCTACTCTCTTCTCCATTCTCTTCCTTCTCTACCGACTCCCTCACCCCCCGCCATACAACCTCGAAAATGATACTCGCCTCTGACGACCCCCTCGTCTACGACTCCCCCGAACTAGGCCCTAACAGTGTTCGTGCCCAAGACCGCATTGTCCTCGCCACAAAAGCCGCTCTCGAAGCCGCGCAATCCCAGCCGAAGAAGAACACGTGGATCGACGAGATTACGGGGTGGGAAGGCGGCTTCTATCGCGACGTCTTCTTTTCTTTGGGACAACCTGTTGGCAACGCCGAGGACATGAAGAAGGTCAATGAGGAAAATTCTGCTGTTCCTGAGAGTGCAATGAAGCTGAGGGAGCTTGTTGGGCGCGCATATCTGCTTGACTTGAGTGTGTTGAGCAAGGCGGATACGGTGGTTTGCACAGTTAGTAGTACGAGTTGTAGGTTGCTGGCTGTTATGATGGGGTGGGGAAGTGCTGTACAGGAGGGCAAGTGGAGGAACATCGACGGCCAGTTCGACTGGAAGGGAATCATGTGGTGAGAGTTGTTCTTTCACCCCTTTCGTTTTTGTTTTTGTTTGGTTGCATGAGATACTCGGGAACAGGTGGGGATGGCAAGTGCGAAACGGCATATGTGCGTATATAGAGATGAATATAAACGGCCTAAAGGTAGATTTTGACTTCCCCTCTTTCTCCCATCTTGTTGAATTTAGAAACGTGGTATGAGAGCGGTTCTGCTATGATAAATGATGCTTGACAACAGCACACATCTCATGAAAAAGTCAATCCGGCTAGCCTATTGGTTCTGTCGGGTAGATTTTGGCTGGATTTTAAGCTTCAAGGCAGTCCGAAAATGATGTGGTCGGGTCAAATCTGGAGTAGCAATATTCTATGTGAGGAGTGCTACGAATGACTGGGGGCTGACATCCTTCATCTGCGATACTAAATCCAGGCGCAGGGAGTCATTGTATTGATTCCTCGACAAGACGATATTCCAACTATGCTCCCTAAAATATTCGTACAAGACAGTCACCACTTCCTCTGCCTACCGCCCCTTTGGTTTCTGCCCCTTTCTCCTCTCCCAAACCATGAGATATGCTTCCTTGGTAAACAACGTCTCAGCCCTCTCTTTCTCGACATACAGATCTTGAATGCCGTACCACTCCTCTCTCGCTCGATCCTTGACCTGCACTCTCCAAACCTTGCTTTCCTGCTCACCTTCAACACTATCATCCTTTTTCTTGACCGCCTCGTGAGTGATGTTGGCTACAAGATCATACCAGATAGGCTCGCCGGGAGGATAGTCTTGACTCGGCTCGACGTACGGTGACATGTCAAGAGAGTGTACGGGAAACGTGACGATGGTTGGATTCCGTTCCGAGACGAATTTGTTCTTGGAGAAGCGCTTGATGTTGAAGAGGAGGTAAGGAGGTAAGGGGTGTAGGAGGCGGTAGCGAACGCGGTTCTTTGACTTTTCTTGTGGAGTCACGCCGTTGTATTTTGAAAGGATATTGACAAGAGGGACCTGTGGGATGATGTTCTTCTCGAGGGCGTCTTGGAACAGAGGGGCTGCCGGTAGGTCGAGGGTTAGCACGAGGAAACGTGATATCTCGGTTTGAACGGCGGCGTCTTCGAAGCGGAGACGATCACCGGCATCAGCACGCGCAGTAATTTCTTGTTGCTCGATCTTCAGCGTGCCTTGGAACACTTTCTGGATTATGCTGCTGTTGGGTTTTGTTCGCGAGCCGCCGACTGCTAGGTGAAGATTGTTGAGGAACCATGAGAGGAAGTCGACGGGATCTGACTGGTCAGAGAGAGTAAAACGTTTTGATGATCGAAGAGCTATCTCTTGGAGGAGTTCATGGGGTGAGACGTGAGTTTTGAAGGCCCGTGGGTTCCAAATCTTACGGACGAGGGTGCTAAAGCGCTGTGCGAGCTGCGGCCGGGTCGACAAATCTTCCAGCATGAAATAGTTCCGCAAAGGAGAAACATGAGATAGAGCTTGTATCACAACGTTGAAGTAATCGTTCGCTTTGATGTTGTTCATACCAACGAAACCTGGGATATACTCTCGATTGGAGAGGCCCCATGATACCTTGGGCTCCTTGTCTAGCTTCGCAACCTCTTCTTTGTTCATACGCGGATCCACAACGAACTTGATGTCGTCCAACGACTTGGACGTCACTTCGTAGCCCTCTGGGAGCACATAGACCTTCTTTGTCTCCATATTGACGTATACGTGATGGCCCTCCTCCAGCGCGTGGAAGTATGCCTGCGATTTGGGGCCGCGACCTTGGTAGTATTTCCCGCATACTAGACAGGCATACACGTTGATGTTGGAGAGGGTAACGGAACATAGTTTCTCAAAGTCGAAGTCGAGGACTTTGCGATTTATCGTATCAAGGTATAGATCTGTGTAGCCGGCTTCTGGGGCAGTCTGGCGTTTCGGCGCAGTGATTGCGGGCTCGTCATCGTCGTCGTTGTCGTTTAATGCGCCGGCTTCCTCAAGCTCGGCATGCTCCTCGTCGTATGCGCCTGTGATGTCTACTTTGTCTCGATATTGCTCGCGCGGTGACATGAGATGACCATTGCTAGTCGCGCCATCGGGCTGAGGGCTCTCCATCTCTTCGTCTTCGACCTTGGCGCGCTTTGGTGCTGGAGAAGGCGCGTCGTACATTTCCTCGAGCGGTTCTAGCGCCGGTCGCTTGGACATTTTGCGCAGGGAAAAGTGTCGCGAGGATACGGCAGTCGAGTGGCAGCTGGAAGAAGCTACGAGTCCAGGTCGAATACAGCTGCTCGCGCAATTGGAGTGGTGAAGCAGCGAAAGTTGTAGGCATCCAAAAGGTCACGGGCGCCGGTGGAACCATTGGCCGGGGAAGCTCCGGGCGCAAACACGGCAAACACAGCTTCAACGCGGGCAGGTCGAGAAAAAAGTCGCGTTCAGGCACCACAAACCAACAACCCCACACCTTCCGAGATACCCCTCTTTGCCTGTTTACGAGTGCGTTCAAGATGGTATGTCGCACGCCTCGCTGCAAAAGCAACAAAAGCACTCACTCGCACGCAGTCCAACCCCACCCAGATCTTTGCGGAGGATGTCACAGAGGAGAAGGGCGAGAATGCGCGTCTCTCGGCCTTTGTAGGAGCCATCGCCGTCGGAGACTTGGTCAAGAGCACACTGGGCCCCAAGGGCATGGACAAGATATTACAGTCTGCGTAGGTGCCGCCTCCTGCCCCGCCATATGATGCCTGCACTGACATGTCTCCAGTTCTACCGGCGAGATCATGGTTACAAACGACGGCGCTACCATCCTCAAAGCGATTGCCCTCGACAACGCCGCTGCCAAAGTCTTGGTCAACATCTCAAAAGTCCAAGATGACGAGGTCGGCGACGGAACGACATCAGTCACTGTCCTTGCCGCCGAACTGCTGCGAGAGGCAGAGAAGCTGGTCGACCAGAAGATCCACCCCCAGACTATCATTGAGGGCTACAGGATAGCGAGTTCTGCGGCTCTCAAAGCCCTGGAGAAGATTGCCGTGGACCACAGCAGCGACGAGCAGGCTTTCAGGAAAGATCTCGAGGCCATTGCCCGAACAACTCTGAGCTCAAAAGTGCTCTCGCAGGACCGACTACAGTTTGCGAAACTTGCCGTCGACGCCGTCCTCAAGCTGGGGGGATCGACCGACCTCACGCACATTCAGATCATCAAAAAGGCTGGCGGAAAGCTGAAGGACTCGTACCTGGACGAGGGATTCATCCTGGACAAGAAGTTCGGTGTGAACCAGCCAAAGCGGATAGAAAACGCAAAGATTCTGGTTGCCAACACAGCCATGGACACGGACAAGATCAAGATCTTCGGTGCACGGGTCAAGGTCGACTCGACAGGCAAGCTCGCTGAGCTGGAGAAGGCTGAGCGCGAGAAGATGAAGGCCAAGGTTGAGCGCATCAAGGCACACGGCATCAACTGTTTCGTCAACCGACAGCTCATCTACAACTGGCCAGAGCAACTCTTCGCGGATGCTGGCATCTGCTCCATCGAGCATGCCGATTTTGACGGCATTGAGCGCCTAGCCCTAGTCACTGGTGGAGAGATCACTTCGACCTTTGACCACCCAGAGAACGTCAAGCTCGGCCACTGCGATCTAGTCGAAGAGGTCATCATCGGAGAGGATGTGTTGATCAGATTCTCGGGCATCAATGCCGGACGGGCATGCACCATCGTCCTCCGCGGTGCAACCGAGCAACTTCTCGACGAGGCCGAGCGATCGCTACACGACGCACTTGCCGTTCTGTCACAGACGATCAAAGAGCCAAGGACAACGCTGGGTGGTGGCTGCGCCGAGATGAACATGGCAAAGGCCGTGGCGGAGGCGGCACAAAACGTGGCTGGCAAGAAGGCCATCGCTGTCGAGTCCTTCTCCAAGGCGCTCCAACAACTACCCACCATCTTGGCCGACAACGCTGGTTTCGACTCGAGCGACCTGGTCACACGCCTCCGGAAAGCCGTCTACTCGGGCTTGACCAGCTCAGGTCTGGATCTCCTGTCCCCTGGAGGTGGCATTGCGGACATGAGGGAGCTTGGCGTCATTGAGAGCTACAAGCTGAAGCGCGCGGTGGTGTCGTCAGCATCAGAGGCTGCAGAGGTAAGTCTACCCAATACGGCGTGATTTGAGCAAGGAACTAACACGACTCTAGTTGCTACTGCGAGTAGACAACATCATCCGAAGCGCACCACGGAGACGTGAGCGCATGTAAGGGTGGGGTGAGCAGGCATGATGTCGTCAAGGATTTCGACACTAGATAGAGTGTATACTATGAAAGACATCAATGCATCCAGACGAACATGATGAAGACCAAGCTTCTCCTTTGGTCGTGTCACATATGTGGCAGTGGGGGCGGACACTGCCGAATGTGGAGTGAAGTTGCACGCAACGACAGGTTGGCGACTGTGAACAAACAGTTGCTTAGTAGTTGCGAGAGCTACTCAAGTGCTCACATCATCTGTTTCATGTTGTTGTCTCGAATAGGAATCTTAGACTTTTACATGGTACTTGCCGCAGCATGGCAGTCGGACTTGGTAAGAAACATGGGGGGTGTTGGGGCGGGGGGGAGTGCAAGCCGGGTGTTCCCCTTCTGACTGTGTCGTAGACCGAGCTGCAGGCAGACTCGCAGACAGAGTTGGAGGAAGACGAGATATTTGCCAACAAGAACGATGCTTTGAAGTGATATTTGGCCGTGTTGCCGGTACCTGCGTGGACAGCAAAGACGACGGGGCCAAGGTTGGTGCTAAAACAAGGGAAACAGGCGGGCGTGTCGGCAAGGAGTTTAGTGGGCGGGCTGGCTGACGAGGCCCCGGCGAGACCCCCAGTTTGCGGCGCACGCCCAGACAGTTGCAGCAGCCCCCGCAGGTTAATATCGAGGCCAAAATCACTGCTGCCACAGGCCTTCTTCTTCTTCCGCCCAAACCTCATCACCTCCCACTGATGCTCCATCACCCCCGCTCTCGCCGCCTTCCCTAGGCTTCCCACTCATCGACGCACGACCGACCCGCCATGCCGCGTCCGCGCCGGCCGCCCGGTGCTGGCTCGACGCTCACCACACTCGCCCTTCTCATCATCACGCTTGTGGCAGCTCAGCAGCAGCAACCACTCGACCACCATGTCGGCAACACGTCTCCCCACGCCGAGGTGCACGTGCAGCATGCAAACACAATTAAACCCCACCACGGACACCCCAGCCTCAAAGACACTGTAGGGGACGCCCACAGACGTCATGCCTACACGCCCTTGAACGACCAGAATGTGCGCGCCGTAGCTACCAAAGTTCCTTCTGCTCCAGCCATCAGTGCTGTCAGAGCCCATCCTGCCAGATACGCTGCCTCGGGAGGCCTCATCCCCAGTGCGCGTTCTCTGCAGGATTGGGAAGTTGAGGACTTTGTTCTCTTGGCGACCGTCGATGGCCATATCCACGCACGCGACCGATACAATGGAGAGGAGATCTGGGAGCTAAGCGGACGGCCCATGTTGGAGACCATCTACAACGTCTCCGAAGACAAGACCAGCCCCCACCACCAGCCCTTTGTGTGGGTCGTCGAGCCTAAAGAGGACGGAGCTCTCTATCTCCTCACTCCAGGCCCCCACCCCCAGCTACAGCACCTGGGTGTCACAGTCAAGCAACTCGCCGAAAGTGCACCCTACTCTAGCGATGACCCGGAACTCCCCGTCGTCTACAACGTCGAGAAGAAGACATTCATGCTTCTCGTCGACGCCGCCTCGGGCATTGTCAAGCAGAGCTTCACTCCGGGCGGCAACTTCCCCTACGACGATAGCTGCGCTCCCGACTCCAAGAACTTCTTCAGCACTCGGGAACGCGATTGCCGTGGCATCATCGACATTGGCCAGACTCAGTACACCATCACCATCCACAACAAGAAGACCAACGAGCATATATGCACGCTCAAATATGCAGAGTGGAACCCAAACAGCCGAGACAAAGATTTGCAGTCCCAGTACGATCAGACCCTGGACAAGCAGTACATTTATACCATGTACAACGGCGAAGTCATTGCCTTTGACTACAAGCGACCGAGATCGCACCAGCGTCCCCTCTACAGACAACGTCTGCCTTACCCGGTAGCACGTGTCTTTGACGTTGCTCGGCCTCTGAACGATCAGTCAAGCGAGCCGCCCCTCGTTTTGCTCCCACAACCAGCCGGCCCCATCTTCTCGGATGACAAAGCTAACCACGTCCTGCTCAACACGACCGAATCGGGGGCTTGGTATGCTCTTTCAGAAGTCAATTACCCCGCAGTCACCGACGGTGCACCCGACGCAGCTTGCTACAAGCAGAACCAGGTATCATACGACTGGGACTCAGCCTACGTGTTGCCGGATAGGAGAAGCCTTATTGGTGTCCACAGGCTGGACTACAGGATCCCCAGCCAGCAGGCACAATTGCCAGGCATCGCCGCCACGACTTACTCTCCAACCTTGAACGGTCAAGTCGTGTCTAATCCGCCTGTGACATCACCTCATGAAAACCCTCAACAGCAAACGATTGAAGGGCCGCCTCAAACGCAGACGGCAAAAGCATCCATCACACTCTTTGTTTCCTTTATGATTGCCGTTGTCGTTTTGGGAGCTACTGTGAAACCAACAGTACGACAGTCCTCCTTGAGCTACCTCAACAGACTTTTGCATCCAGCCAAGGCCACTCTGTCACCGACTCCACTGTCTGCCTCTACCGAGCCGGAAATCGATCAATCCGTAAAACAGGAGACTCTAACAGTGCCTGTCAGCGAGGACGTCGTCCCTGAGAAGCCAAATGTAGAAAGTGTAGTAGAGGCTGATATCGTCGCCCCTGTTGCTGAGGAAGTCAAGGAGAAGAAAGTGACTTTCAACGTCCCCGATGACGAAGATGAAGATCTTTCACCTCTCTCTAGAACCACGACGGTTGAACGTGGTTCTCCTAGTGAAGACGAACCTACCCTAACTGGTTCCACACTCAACGCGGATGCTCAACCCATGACTAGCAGTATCGACGACATTTCGCAGGACCCATCCGCCGCGCCCACGACTCCTAAGAAGAAGAAAGCACATCGGGGTAGACGTGGTGGACGCAAGCTCAGCAAGAATCAACAGAAAGAAGAAGACGAGGTAAATCGCATCGTGGACGCAGCTAAGCAACTCGAGGTCGGGCCTCGCCTGCAACCCGATGAACTTACTGTGAGTGGTGGCGATGTACAGAATGTCTCCGAGATCAAACGGATCGGCAAGTTGACGATCGACCAAGATCGTCTTCTTGGCAACGGAAGTGGAGGAACGTTTGTCTTTGAGGGTAAATGGAAGGTACGTTGAACAAGTCAATCTGTTACGATTGAGCATGTCGGCCGTCCAGCAATGACGGTTTCCACGCATTCTCGATGAGTATCTCATACTAATTCTCTTTGCAGGAAGTCAAGGTGGCTGTCAAACGCATGTTACCACAGTACTTCGGACTCGCAGAGCAAGAGGTGAAGCTATTACAGAACAGCGACCCGCACCCGAACGTTATTCGATACTTTGACGATGAGAGGGATGAGAACTTCTTATATATCGCCGTCGAACTCTGTCAAGCTAGTCTGTTTGACCTTTACAAAGACGGTCGTCCAGGAGAGGAACTTTCTGAAAGCCACCAGCAGTTGGTGAACAAGATCAGCGGGAAAGCTGCAGCTTGTCTCTACCAACTCGCTGCTGGATTGAATCACCTTCACCATCTTCGCATCATCCACCGCGACATCAAACCCCAGAACATACTGATTGCACAGCCATTGATCACCTCCAAGGACGATGTACGGCTAGTGATATCTGATTTCGGACTCTGTAAGACGCTGCCTGACAACGTCAGTACCCTTGTCGGAACGACTGGCAATGCAGGCACGGTTGGCTGGAAAGCGCCTGAGCTTATCTCGCAACCGAAGGAGTTGGCCAACGGCAGCTCTCAAGGCTTCTCTCGCGATTCATCAAGCTCTACAGACCCGGTCGCGCAAGGCGTCAAGCGAGCCGTTGACATATTTTCTCTGGGCTGCGTTTTCTACTACGTCCTCACTGGTGGTTGCCATCCTTTCGATGACGAAGAAGGCTGGATGCAGATCCGCGAATACAACATCAAAAAAGAGAAGTCCAATCTCGATCGCCTGCTTCTCGGTGCCGATTCCGTAGAGCCCCATCGTCTCATCCATTGGATGCTGCGACCCAGGCCCGAAGACCGCCCCAACGCCTTGCAAGTCATGAACCATCCCTTTTTCTGGGACGATCAGAAACGCCTTGATTTCCTGTGCGACTGCTCGGATCATTGGGAACGTGAACCCAGAGACCCACCATCGGAACACCTGGCAGTGCTGGAAGAATATTCGGAAGACGTACTGGATCATAGACGCAACTTCCTCGCCAAACTTGACCAGAGTTTCATCAACTCGCTCGGAAAACAGCGCAAGTATACGGGCGACAAGATGCTGGATCTGTTGAGAGCGCTCAGGAACAAGAAAAACCACTACGAGGATATGGAGGATGCAATCAAGGCCAAGGTGGGGCCATTGCCGAGTGGCTATCTGAGATATTGGACGGTCAAGTTCCCGCAGCTGCTGATGAGCTGTTATGACGCGGTGTTGCGATGTGATCTGGAGCGCGAGCCGCGATTTAAGAAGTATTTCGAGAGCATGAAGTAGTGGACGAAGAATGTTATTGCGATTGATGCACACACAGACCGAACATGATTGTTTGTCCATTCGTTTGGATTTGCTGTAGCCCTCTGATGAAGACCATGTGCTACCTCTTCAATCGACTGCCATCCAGCTCCGCTAAACTCGCCTTTACCATGTCCGGGTTGTTGTTCAACAGCTCTTGCACCCTCTTTTCGAAAGCCTTGACCATGAATTCTGCCACCTTGGGCGCGACGCCCCCACTCAAGGCCGCGTACATGGGATTTGCAAAAGCAAACTCTACCGCCAAACTAACCTGTGTCTGGTCGTTCTGGATAGACTCGACAGTCCACGTACTCCGTAGATGGGTAAGCAAACCATTTTCGCCTTGTTTCCTCTCTGTTCCCTGCTTCTCCCCATCTAAGTGATGGGCGATATCGTCAATCTTCAAGCTCGTTTCCGTGTTCCCGCCTACACTTTCCACATAGCGTCCCGGTATGCAATACACCCTACTCACGAAACTCTCGGTTATGCCACCAAAGCCGCTCGTCAAGATGCCTTCTGATGGCCACCGCCGGCCATGAACTTTATCTGGTGCCGACCACTTCGTTATGTCGCTGCGTTGGCAGTAGGGCAGGAAGTTTTGGTAGTTGGGTACGTCGGCTATGATGGAGTAGACGGGGTCCGAGGGGTAAGGGAGAGTTCGCACGGCGGTCAGGATTTGAGGTGGCGAGGACGAAGATGGGAGGGCGGAGTTTAGTGCTTCGAAAGGGTTGGGGAGGAAGGTTCGCCGTTGGGGGAGGCGCTGGGGAAGACGCGTGTAGCGGTGCACCGATGGGCGAGCGGATCGCAAGGATGCCATTGTGGATCTAGAGCAGTGGACAGCGGAGTTTGTATTGAGAGTGTCACCTCGACATGATACCTGAGGTTTTCCGAAAGCCTAGAATCGATGAGCGCATCAACCTTCAGTTGAGTGTGGATTCGCGCCGCTAGGAGATGCGGCTCTGCAATGACGCTGCCAGGGACCGCGGCCGCTAAACTCCTCTCGACATTAGCGGCTGAAATTTCCCCTCCATGAATTATCCCCATGCCCCGCGTACGCGACTCTAACAAAAGTCGGCCACGGCTGCGAAAATGGATGCCATGGAAAGCGCAAACACAGACGCCATGGACGGCCCAAGTTCTCAGGATAGTGGCGACTCCAGATTCCAGACGGACAACAGCATGTCAAGGAAGCCACAGCCTAAACAGCAATTATCCAAAGCAATGGAACATATGCGCTTCGCAGTCACAGTCGATCCTATACCGCATACTTCGACTTCCACGCCACCGCCAGAAGCCTCCGATGCCGCATCTCCACCCACGCAACAAGGCCCCGAGAACGACGCTTACGGAGTACCTGCTTCTCTACAGCCTGTCCGCGCACCACCCTCTCGCTCCCACGACCCTGGCAACAACCAAAAGCGCAGTGACCCCTTCGCATTCGGATCGCGCTACCTCGAGGAAGGCGACAACATCTTCGAATTCAATGCCTGGGACCACGTAACCGTCGACTCCAACTACCTTGCCTTCTCCGAAGAACAATATTCCAAACAACGGCAAGAGCCCGTCTCCGAGTTTGATCGCAAACGTTACAACGACCAGCCCGAGAAGTGGTGGAACCAATTTTACAAGAACAACAAGACAAACTTCTTCAAGAATCGCAAATGGCTGGCGCAGGAATTTCCAATACTAGAGGAACTGGGTGCAGAAGATGGACCCGAGGCTACCTTGTTGGAAGTTGGCGCTGGAGCGGGCAACAGTGCGTTTCCCATCTTGCAGAGGAGCCAAAACAAGAGGCTGAAGATACACGCATGCGATTTCTCTAAAAAGGCAGTCGAGCTTATACGTAACCACGAACTCTACGACCCGGAACGCATACAAGCCGACGTATGGGACGTAGCCGCATCGCCCGACTCTGAAAACGGCGGTCTCCCTCCAGGGCTGATAGAAGGCAGCGTGGATGTCGTACTCATGATATTCATCTTCAGTGCCCTAAATCCCAAGCAATGGGACCAAGCCGTCCGCAATATCTGGCGGGTCCTCAAGCCGGGCGGCCAGGTCCTGTTCCGCGACTACGGACGCGGCGATCTAGCTCAGGTCCGCTTCAAAAAAGGCCGGTACATGGAAGAAAACTTCTACGTCCGCGGCGACGGCACGCGAGTCTACTTCTTCGAGCAGTCTGAGCTCGAGGACATTTGGGGTGGAGCAGCCAGGAAACGCGATACGACGGTTGGCAATGTGGCGGATACAACAATATCCCAGACAGAGGCTGAAGGCGTCATCGCGGATAAGATTGAGAGTCTGTCGCTTCATGATCCGGATTCGCAGACGAGAGAGCAGAGTCATGATGACGTTAATGATCCCGAAACCCCCAGACCGGGTTTTGAGGTTGCGCACATTGGCGTTGATAGACGTATGCTGGTGAATAGGCAGAGGAGGTTGAAAATGTATAGGTGTTGGATGCAGGCTGTGTTTCGCAAGGCGGGCATGGAGAGTGAGGTGCCGACAAGTACGTTGAGGCAGGATAAGGAGGAGGAAGAGGGTGGGGAAGGTGTAGCGGATGAACAAGGAGAGAGCCAGGCGAGCAAAGAGGATGCCGTGGAAGGAGGGGGCGTCAAGGTCTGAGGACCTGTGTCTTGAAGCCTGGAATACAAGGATCTGCATGGATGGGATGAAGATGAATGATACCATAACCTCTGAGACATGAAAAGATGCAAAAGCACAAAAGTTCGGTCTTTAACCCATTGATGAATCTTGGGAATCACTGTCATATGAAAGTGCATCGTGTTGAAATCGTACTGTATTTCTGGTGTACAGCTGTTATGCACCTGAAAGAAGCCGGCTATGCTACGCTAAAAGACTATTGCTCATAACACGAGCGATGATGCATGCGCAAGAACTTTGGCGTCACGCTTCGCAAAACAAGTAGACAAACACAGAGCCTCAATCGAGGATGTCACAATATGATCCGCAATCAAGCCCCATTCCATGCGACCGGATCCAAAAGCACAACAACAGCGTCTTTTCAGTTTCCCTCAAGGATACCCTTGAGGATGCCAGCTCCAGGCCCCACGAGTGAATCCGCCAACTCCTTCTCTCCAACAACGCTAGCAACCCTGCGATCCTCGACAACAACCCCAGGAAAAGCTTTACCCCTCCCCCTGCGACTAGGCGTGCCAGCGCCAACATCCAGCGACCCAGCTTTACCCTCCACCGCAGAAACAAGCGACAGTGTCTCCAAACTGCCTACGATATCCCTGAACTCAGTGCTCGTAAGAGGATGTAGAATGTTCTCTCGCTTACACAGCGCGGTGTAGGCTTCAAAAAGTTCTTTGATGGTAGGAGATGTAGTGTGGGATCTTGACGGTGTGGCTAGAATGCTGTCGGCAGCAGTGGCACGCTTCCTTTTTTCAATGGCGGAGAGCGAGCAGAGGACGGCTTTTTGTTGGAGGTTCAGGTTTCGCAGACGTTGACTTGTGCCGTTGCTGAATACTGCTGCTGTGATCTTGGCCATGTGGGCAATGGTGGCGCGGGGTGCGGTTTCGACAGTGAGGGAGCCCAGGGAGGCGGCGATGATGCTGTTCAGGTCTTTGGTTTTGGTGGGTGAGCGCACGGCTGAGCAGGAGAGGTTGACTTTTTCAACTAGAGGGGTTTTCGAGGGCGAGGGCGTGGGTGATGGCGTGATTTCTGTGGCTTTTTTCAAGTGTTGGTCGCGCGTGTCGGCTTCGATGAGGTCGATTGCCCGCCGGCAGATGTCGAAGGCTTTGCGTAGGTCGCCGGATTGGGCGGCTACTTTCTTGGAGAGGAATATGATGGCGGTTGGGTGGACGAATGGTAGTTGGGTTGAGCCTGCTGGGAGAAGGGTCTTCAGCTTTGAGGTAATAACAGAGGATATTTGTGTGGCGTTGTATGGGAGGAACGGCAGTAGTTGCGGCTTGAGACCGCGAGCCTTGAGTCGCGGGAGGAATCGATCTGTGAGATCCAGCGCGTTCGCAATGCCAACTAGCACAAGGCCCGATTCTTTCTGTAACGACCACTCAAAGATGTTGTAGAAGAGCTCAATGTCCAAGTCCAGCAGGTGGTCCACTTCATCGAGCGTAACGACGTAAGATGTCTTCCGTTGCATGAAAACAGTCCTAAGCGCATCCATCTCGTCGCCCTCTGCGATCTCGGTGATGTCGACGAACTCCTCTAGAAGGGTTCTGTAGAGATCTGTGGCGTTCTTGACGCTCATACAATTGATGTATCCGGTCCTAACGGCTTCATCCGATGAGACTGTACGACAGACATCGTTGACGAAAGCGCTCTTGCCGGTGCCTGGCGGGCCGGAGACGTATATGCAGCCCGATGTCTTGGTCTTAGTTCGTGTTGTGATGAACGTGTCGAGTTCCTTCCTCTCGTTTTCGCGACCAAACAGTGCGGTTGGGGCAGAGCCTCTTGCAAATACCTGACGCGCTTCGTTGTAGATTGTCGGTCCTGTGTTTCGTGGAGTGCCTGGGGTGTGTGGTGTGCGCGGTGTCAAAGGTCGACCGGCAATGATGAGTCGGTGCCTGGGTGTGACGGCAACTTTGCCGGCAAGCGCGTCGCGATGTCTCGGTGTCGAAGGAGTAGGCGCAAAGTTTTCTGGGATGTCCACGAGCGCCTTCTGCGGGGAGTTCTCCTTGGCTGCGGAAACGGGGAGTCGTGTGCATTGCGAGGCATACTTTGCGGGAGTTGTGCCTGTCTTCCTTCCGCGTTTTATCGACGCCTTCTCCTCTGGCTCATCCACGTCCATTGCATCCTCGTCGCGCACATTTTGCTTCTTTGGAGTGACGAAGGGATTCTCAATCTCCCCTTCGTCGTGTATAACGAACTGAGTCCTCCGCTTTGCGCGCGTTGCGATGTTTAATTTTGACTCTGTAGAGCGCGTTAGGGACGTGTTGTCCGAGGAACCGCGACCAGAGCCGCCGTGGCTCGTACCTGAAGCTTCTATACGTGCAGAGCTGCGAGTCCTCTTGCCGAGAACGGTAGAGGCCATCTTGGGTATGCTGTGGGAAGGTGCGAGGGGTGCGTTGCAATTGCCGAGAGTGTGAGAGCGTCAATCATGGAAGGAGCTGAGCGGCACACGAAGCACGCGCGACGCGTAAAGTGGTGGTCGGTGCGCGTCCCGCCCCAAAAGTCTTCTAACCCATCTTGTCACGCGCCTTTCTCCGCCTCCCACATAGCACTTGAATCCAACGGCCCAGCATCACTCAGTCAGCGGTGAATATGGCACGCGGACTTCGGGCTTGTTGAGCTGTTTGCTGCGAAACCCTTGCGCCTCATAACAACTCTCCAACGAGATCATGTCACTCTTCAACGCCTGGTCCACATCTACTGATCCTGGACTGACGTGCAGAGCATGACTACTGTCTCACCACTGCCACTTCGTTTGCGTGGTACAATTGGGTTGCCTTTTCGTTCTGCCAATCCTTGTGGTGGTGCAAGAAGTAGGGCTGGTATTAAGCGTGCGACGTGAGCAAGCACAATGACCAGCAGTATAAGGACCTTCGCACACAGTAGCCATATCATAGTCAACTCTTCTACTTCACCGCGGTCTTCGCACTGCCTTTTCATCATTTCACAGCGTGGTGTGTTGGGCATTATCAACAGAGAGAACACGAAATGCCATATCAGACATACCCGTGGTGGTCGAATGGCTTTGATTTCTTAGATTCACATGCGCGCTGTACCAATCCTCGATCGTCTCGAAGGCTGCGAGCTCCATGGTGGGCGTTCTCAGAGCTCGCAGCAGGTCCATGCTGCGAGTTTTGTGTTACTCATGACAACATTGTACGCTACATGCTACCCGCTTAGCCTTTTTTGATTACGCACGCCTAACAATGTGTAGCCGAGTCTGGAAGAGGGCCTCTTTGAGCTGAGAATGGTAGCACCGCCATATTTCGACCACGTCCTGGAGGCATACGAATGTATCCATCGCTACTACAAGCACGGTTTCGATCAAGATGGCCCGGAGTCTTATTATGTGTCGCGTGAGATAGAGAGGCTATCAAAGTTGTTACGCAAATTGTACTTTGCAACAGGTATGCATGAGTTGGCTTCATGGTCGGACCAGTTGAAATACATGGGAAGGGATACACAAATGAGTTCCAGACGTTTTCGATCCAGCGCAATGTCTAAGCATCGGAACAATCGTGGATCGTTGATGCCGCTGATTATGTTCTAGACATAGATGCTTGGACTGTTGGTGTTGAACTCAACTTGCGCTCATATCGAATGGCTTGGATCACGCTCTACAGATTTGCTGCGGTCGCTGTTTGTAGACTGTCATTCGATGTACGTTAGACATGTCACTGCTGCTATCTTTCCTGAGTATGCGATCGTTCTTTGAGAAGTCGAGCGGTGTGGCGATCGTGACCTCGAAGTGAAGAACGAAAAATGGCTACTGAACGTGAAACAAGCCAGCTTGTCGTACAAAAGATTGCACATGACAGCTCTAGCTGTAGTTTTAGGAATGCTCTGGCCATGTATCGATTATCTCTGGTGTGACGCCGCTCCCCAACTACCGCACCAGAACAACTCATTAACTTTCTACCATGATTGGGTCTTTCTGCTGGAAAGCGTACGTAATTGTTCTAATAGCAATATATTTCCTGTTCAGCAAGCAGGACTTGTATACTGGGGTACTATGCACGTTGTACATATACGCAGGCGATGGACCCCCGGCGAATGCGTGAGTGGCCATTTGGCAAAAGCATTGCAGGCTAGAGATTGCTCGAACACAAGCGCGGCTCCGAGAGATGCAATGAGAAAGTGGCGGCCAAGTAGGACAGGAAGGTCATCTACACAAGATGTAAACTGTATTCGCTTAATAGGAACGTGGAATCTACGTATTGACTATCATAGCATTTCTGCTTGCAGTGCCGGGCATCGGAAGAATACAGGAAACAAGAGAAGCTGTTAACCTGCGAGCGTCATATGTCTTAGTCCTTCTCTCATGTACAAGCAAGTAGAGCGGTGAATTTGTTTGCTCCCTCGCTAATACCGTCTTGCCTCTGTCAATCCTGCGATCCACTTGGACGCCACCCTCGTACCGACTGCCACCACGACCAATTCTCTCCGATATTTGTTTATTCAGGTTGTCACAAGCCAAGATCAGCACACTACCCCTTGATACACGGTAATGCCGTCTTACGACGCTACTCGTGAGACAATGCGCGCTCGGTTCTTCAAGGAAATGGGCGAGGCCACCTCCGATGCAGAGCGCGGCCGGGCGATCCAGTCTATGGCCGAGGTAGCTCACCAAGCAGAGTGCATTCGCTCCGTGCAGCAAGTCGTCCATAGTCTCACCAATATCTGCCAGACCGACCTAAAGATTGTGTTGCAGGCTACTAAGATAGAAGAACGCATCCTCATCCTATACGCGGATCCCATGACCAACGCTATTGAGATCCAGGTCGTGAAGAAGGCCTAGTCTAGTTGATTACAAGACTATACTTAGCCGCCCACAGAGCACATGATATGGCTTTCGAAGCTGATGCTCGTAATCCTGCTTATACTGTCCCTTTGGCCATAGAAAAGTTTGTAGCGAAGGATGAGAGGGCATACATGGCCATGACAACGAGATGAAATTCAGAGATATTCATGGCGATGAAGTTGGAAGCTCAAGCTCCGGAAATTGCGGTATTGATAGGAAAGGTCCTAGAAGCTCAGATCCAACCTTGAAGAACAACGACCCTAAACCTGCGTAGAGGATGTGTGAGCGGGACAAGGATCGCAGCAACAACAGCATCAGCAGCAGTGACAACGACAAAACGTAGAATGGAAAACGCAAGCGAAAAGCAGGCGACTAGAGAAGGCAATGATGGGACGTCGCGATTTGGAACGACGTACGTAGATGGCGTGGCGAACGACAAGACGGGGGCGATCTTCAGCTGTTGGGGAATGCGTGGAAACGCAGGCTGTTCTATTTGCAGAGTTCCAGAAGCACGTAGGTAGCATCGGCGACCAAATGTTGGAACCGACAGGTAGCCATGAAAAGCTTGTTTGCTGGATCACTTTCGCCTGTTATTGTTTCTTGCGGGGTGCATTGCCGTACCAAGCTTTCGGAAGGGATGCCTCGCCCCTGAGTCGCCAACCGTGCGTGACACTTCAATCATGATACAACCACACTTTCTTGCTAACTTAAGACATTCTTTTGTCGATACAGTGCAATCAATTGTACTTTTTTGCCTCGAAATCTGTGAGAGCGGCCGTATTATGTAACGAAGGCGCTTGGATGCACGTCGCTGGGATGTAGAGCTGAATCCCCCTCGCACATATGCAGAAGAGAACCGTGCCGCCGATCATGTCCTTCCTAGCGCACGGCGTGCATCAAAGCAACACCGCGATATTGTTTTTTCAGCCTGCTCAACAGAACCGATGTCTGAGGCATAGCTCCTCATCGCTAAGGACGCGAGCCAGCTATGGTGTGATGACTGCACAAACGCCCTTAGGGGTGTTGTGCTACCGTATAGGCATGGGCCAACAGACGGGCATATAATCCGCAGAGACCTGCATTTCGGAATCTGCACGCTCGTTTACTTTCGTTCCGAGTCAACATGAAGTGGACATCGTCTCTAACGTTTGGTGCTGCCGTCTTGGCCTCTCTCGCGACGGCACAAGATACGCCGACAAACGATCGCCAACCCACAGTGAGCGCGCCGTACGAGAACCCATGGAAGGCATTGTCCGAAGAAGAAGCTGCTAGTGTCAATGAGCTTCTACAGGAGAGAATGAGCTTGACAGGCAACACAGGATCCAGCCGAGATAACTTTGTGTGAGTCTGGCAATCCAAAACATCATTGTGCCTACTAACACCATCTCAGCGTACAGCTTTCCCTTCTTCATCCCAACAAGACGGACACTCTACCCTTTCTCGACAACAATGCCACCGCACCAAGGCGTTATGCGCGAGCAACTATTCAAAGCGGTACCACCAACTCGACGGAGAAATACTGGCAAGAGTATTTGGTAGGGCCGCTACCAGCAACAAACGCCACTGCGGTTGAACCGTTGACATTTCCTTTCCAAAACTCTCAACCGGGACGAACTCCCATGCATCCTTTGTACTCACCTAATGAAGCATCAAGTTTCTTCACGAGGTTCTCAACAGAGGTCGAGGATATCTCAATGCAACTGTTCAACACTGTAAGTTAGAACACATACGCACTAGGTAACAGCAAAAGCTTACATGTCTAGACTTTCTTTACTGGTAGCATTGGTCTCCGGCTCGGTAGTCCCTTCTGGGATGAAGAAGGCCGAATAATTTCCTGGGCGGCGGCGTTTGCGGATCCAGGTACCAAACTTAGCAGTGTTACAGTGGAGCCGCTCGGGTTTGCTGTAAAGTTTGATTTGACTGGACAAAATTCGGACAATTGGAAAGCTGTTGGCTGGTACTCGAAAGGAGAGTTTTACGCCAGTACTGACGACTTCCGTGCCGCAATCAACAAGCCCGACTACCAGAAACCACCACCGAATGTACTGGGTAACTGGACGTCCACTGACAGGCAGGGAACGCCCATGCCCTTGGACCATCTACCACCGCCAGCTTCTATCGCCCAAGGAGACCAGCGATTCAAGATTGATGCTGAAGAGGGATATATATCTTGGATGGACTTTACGTTTTACCATGCTGTCTCCCAGGATCTTGGCCTTTCGCTGTTCGACATCAAATACAAAGGCCGACGTATCATTTACGAGTTGTCTTTGCAAGAAGCTCTGACGTCCTACTCCGGAACCGATCCTTTCCAATCGCAAGCAACCTTCTTCGACACTACAAGTGGTATGGGCTCGACACTACAACCTCTTATCAAGGGTTACGACTGCCCTAGCCATGCGACATATCTCCCTGCGACATGGACCGAAGGCGATACACTCAAGACCCAAGCGGAAGCTATATGCATATTTGAATTTGATGCTGGCTACCCGATCCGCCGCCACTCTTTCTCACCATCCGCACCACACACCAGTGTAGCAAAGAATATCCAATTTGTCATGCGTACCGTAGCCACAGTAGGCAACTACGACTTCATGATCGACTACAGCTTCTTCTACGACGGAGGCATCGAAGTATCCTCTCGCTTTTCTGGATATATTGCCGCTGCTTATTGGGATGGCCAACCGGAGTACGGCTTCCACATCCATGACTTTCTCTCAGGTAGCTCACACGACCACACCCTCACATTCAAGGTGGACTTGGATATCAACGGAAGGAAGAACAGTGTGCAGAAACTGCAATTTGTGCCAACTTCCACGACATATCCCTGGAGTCAAGGTCGAGTATACAACACTTTTAAAGCCGAGCGATCATGGGTAGCCAACGAGAGCGAATCCAAGATCAATTGGGCGGAGAACGATAACACATTGTACGCCATTGTGAACAGGGATACACCGAACCCATACGGCGAATACCCGGGTTACAGAATCAAGAGAGCTGCCGGTACAATCCATCTCACACAAACTAACTCGACAAACACTGGCAAGACGGGTGCCTTTGTGACGCACGACTTTTACGTTACTCAGCAAAAGGAGACGGAGCCGAGGGCTGCGGATGCCAACAACCAGTTTAACAAGGATGATCCCTTAGTAGATTTTGCATCCTTCTTCGATGAGGAGACTTTGGAGCAGGAAGACTTGTTCGTAACCCCATTCCTTATCAGTATCGCGGCTGATGATATATAACACCTTACTAACAAGACACAGAGTACTCTGGTTCAACCTCGGCATGCACCACCTCCCGCATACTGGCGATTTGCCAAACACAATGTTTAGCTCTGCGCATTCTGCCATGCGATTCGAGCCACTTAACTACCTCGTCGGCGATCCATCTGTCTCGAGCAACCAGCAAGTTAGGATCGAATACGACGACCAAGGTGCTGTTACGAATGTGGATGAGTTTGGCAAGATGTCTGCCAATACGACTTGCGCTTGATCTGCTTCGAGGTGGAGAACTGCATGCTATCAGGCTTGCACTACTTTGTTGTTTCTGAACTGTCCATAATCATTTTCTTTTCTCAAATGCTATTACTATACTTTCTTTCTTGTCTATCCAACCTGTTGCTCTCCAAATGATGTGCATAGTCCCGCATAGTTAGCTTGTTCGATTTCTAGCATTGATCCTATATCTAGTCATGTACGCATCGCTTCGCCTAACAGGGATTGTGCCCCTCCTCAGAAACGCCTCTTCGTATACGCACATGCAGTAAAAACCTGTTGCGGATGAATCAAGTTGTGGCGTAGCTGTGCTGCATCACGCAAGGTCCAGGCCCTGGCTTTACAACCTTTCGTCCTCAACATTGAGTAGGTCTCGTTTCCAACAGGCACTACGCCAAATGCTGGCAATGGCTTCAGGTGTACTAAATCACATGCGATTCTACGCCTCTGATTGCCAAGGAGGTGAACACGTAACACGCATGCAGCGTATGGGTCATGACGAGGTCTATCCCGCACTAACGATGTGTTCAGGTATCGTGCGCACTCCTACCGGGATGGTCGCCAGCTATTCCTACTTTAGATCGATGCCGAAGATATACAGAATAGAAGTAGAAAAATGAGACATAATTCCAACTGTCTGTATTGATGTCTTTAAACAAAAAAGAAACTTCAGGTTTTTCATCTAGTCGCGATCTTTTTAATGCTGCATCATTTGAAACAGACGAAAAACCGAAACGCAATCTTTCTCCTTGCATAATGTAGCGCAAAGCGTCGTTTTGGGTACGATGAGCGCGCAGCGAAAAGAACTTTACGGATCCTGTCTTCTTATCAGCCACCATGGGTGAGATCGGGTAGAGCATTGTTCCTCTATACTCAAACTCATTTTATTTCACGAGGTTGTCCAAGTACCCCATAGACAAACAAAATAATGTGACATTTAACGGAACTGCTACAAAAGGCTTCATAGAAAGACTTTCACTCATTACCATCCAGCTATTGGTATCAACGTGTTTTGCGTATATTAGCCTATATTGGCAGCCAACACCGTCGTTCTCGCCAGCCTGATCATGCGCTGTGCTTCTTCTTCTTCTTCTTCTTCCTCCATAGTACAGTACACCCCGGTAATGTCTCCCTTTCTGTAACGTGGGATCATGAAGCCGCAACCAACGGCTTCACGTGTTGCTTCCAGACATCTAGAAATGCCCTTCTATCCTTCTTGCTTTGAAACTTGATGTCCAATTCCGAATACCCAAACCGATTTAAGTTGCCCGCTCTCGAAAATCCACTGCCATTTCCAAATATGCTCCTCGGCGACTGGAGCGAGCCGTTCAGTGACCCTGAGGCCCTACTTTCTGATCGCGCCAATTCTGGCATCTCCATAGAGTCGTTTCGTTTCCTTTCGAAGAGAGAAGAGTTCACAGGCTCGGACTCGGACCGGGTCGATGATTTGCGGCGTTTGAGCAGCTTATCGGTCGCCCAACGCGATGGGTCTTTTGAAAAGACAAGAGTAAGCTTGTCGCTTTCTTTCTTGTAGATAGAATCTGCAAGCCACTCGAACGCGTAATGTGGCTCCTCGACCCAGTGACCTTTCTCTTCTTCTAACGCGCTTGTGTAGAATAGCAAAACCAGAACCTCGGATGTGATGAGCTCGCCATCTACCAGCTGCGTCTCAACGCGCCGCCATAATCGCAGATTCTTGTTACGACATTCAGTTGGATTTTTGTTTGACGATATAGCCAGGATAGGTCGATCGAATTTAAGTTCGGCAGGATCGACGCCGTTGTTGGTGTATAATAAGGTTTGGAACTTGTCCGCTGATTCGTGACCAACAAATGTGTATTTAATGTCAATGTACTGTTTGTATAGTCTTCCGAACGAACCACGTGGAAAATCAATAGACACTGCACCGTCAGCGTATGTGGTAGTCAATGGTATCGATGGACCGGTGGCAGGGAAATGCTGTTCAGTCCAAGTGCGTAGTTTTCCATCTTGGCTAGAGTAATATACTGCTCGCAGCGAGATGCCAGTATCTTCTCGATATCGCCACCGAACGTCGCATTCACGGTTCTCGGGCCCGTACTTTAAAGACTTTCGTTCAACCTGCACATTGCGACAGACGCGCTTCCAATCGAGTGCAGCGTCACCTAATGCCATGGTGGCCAGCGATGTGCGCGAAAGACTGCGTTGCAGCGTGGGAGATAGCGACTTTTCTGGGGTAGTACCTGCTGAATAGCATTCGCTACTTCTTGTTGTAGACATAGAGGCAGTTCGGCCCGAACAAAGAGACTTTGATGTTGGCGACTGTGTCCAGTTGAACGAGCCAAAATAATCTGGGGATGATGGTCGTATGCTCAAGCTGGGACGGATGGTGGCTGTCGAGTCACTCATCAGTTCTTGGCCAGACTCCGTAAAGTCACCAGAATGGTCTGTCTTGAGGGTATACACTCGCGGTGGTGCTGGTGGCATATCGCGGACCTCCTGCTTCATCGTATCGCTCGGGACCAGGTGTGTTCGTTTCTCGGCAGTAGCCCGCTTCGCGCGATTTTCTTCAATGAGTATCGCATCGTCAACCTGTCGCCTAAGTTGATACAGTACTGCAGCGATTTGAACATCGCCACTCGGTACAGAAGCGGGTATGTCGCCTAGCGATAGGGGCCGTGACGATCCCGCTTCTTGAGCTATGCGTTCATCCTCGCTTTGTAGCCATCTATCAAAAATCTTCCATTCGCTGAACAATGGGTGTTCGTCAGGAGGCGCAAGCGCTAATGGCGTATGGTTGCTGGAAATTCCAAGACTGTGAGTGGAGTATGAGCGGCGACCCATGTTTACTGTACGAGATGGCGCGGCATCGAGAAGGCGCTGAGTTTGCTTTGTTGCTTCGAGATGAAGCCGTCTAGTGGCGGTCAGCGACTAAATCCTAAGCGCTGAGTGCGCATGACGCTTACAACTGGAGAAATGAGATGCACATGTTGAGAGCTTGATAGTGACCGCTGATCTGTTTTCTCAGTCCATCGATTTCTTTTTCCATCCCTATATAGCGGATAGTGAAGATGAACTTCTTAACAGACATCTTCCTATCGACGAGATGATCAGCGTATGGTTCCAGGGTCTTTTCACACTTCTTCAGCGTGTCTTCGAAATCTTTGACGGGAAATGGCATTGTTTGGCCATATTGTTTCATCAATTCGCCTAGCTGTTTGAGACAAGTATGGAAGGTGGTGAACTCTTTCACAAGCCCACTAACTTGAGCTTCTGAGTTCTCATTCGCATCTGAATGTAGGGATTAGCAAGCTGATCCCTGGAAGATACTGATGCAGGGTGGTAGCTGAACATACCTTTGAAAGCAAGGTATACACGAGTCGAGATCTCCAACAGCTTCAACACATTGGATGGACTACATCCAAAAGACATTTCGGTTCGCTTGCGCCGCGCTCAAGCGCAACACAGGATGTTTAGTGACTGACCATGCGTTGTGGAACTGCTAGTACACAGTGGAGGCAACAGTCAAGAGAAGTTCAAGCCTCTGAGAGACGCAAACGGGGTTGTAGAAGAATCTTCCAAGCTTACATCCAGCTTCCCGACATGTGCATAACTTGGCTAACCCAAAGGCAGACCGCTGCGACATCTGGAGTGGCTTAGCATATTATCTGACATGCTACTAGAGCCCAGGCACGCGCATTTCTCAAGCCTTCCAACGTCGGAAGCACTACTTGCAGCCGTGATCTTATTCAAGAGCGGCATACAGCTCGTATTCGTGCATGTGGCGGTATCAGGATGGTTCACCGAAACCGGTATGGCGGCTTTTGACGTTCAATGAGGATGCGAAGATCACCACGTGGGGAGGCGAACGGCCATCGTCAACTACCAGATACCCAGATTAGCCAACCATCATCATCCAGGACCGCGCGGCTTCCACTCAAAATATTGAAGGCAATATCATGATTCCATCTTACAGACATTCTGACAAGTCCAAAGTCCACACTGTCCACCGCAACTGTGTTCATTCTTGCGCTGGCACCCGCCCTAGACATGACGAGTCGCAGATGACATCCTCAGTTAGCCATCAATGGTAATCTCAGATGACCTGTAAGGTTGACATGTCAGGGCTATGCTGCGGTTTTTCTGCAGCAACAAACGCCACCAAGTCTGACTTCGGCGAAGAGAACAAGATTGGACACGATGAGGAAGAACCCATGAGTAGCGCCAATTCCAATGCACCCCCTTTTGTTGACCGGTTTATTGTGTCGCCTCGGGCTGTGCATGAGTTTCTAAGAGTGGCTTCGGTGATGCGCATCGTAGTGGAGGCTGAAGCTTCGTACGCCCTCAATATGAACTGCGCTGCCCCGAGAGGATTGTGTACAACAAACGACGCAACACAAAGAGATTTTGCCAAAGCATACGCGTTGGGGTGCGACTACCTGTTGTAAAAGAGGTTCATCATTAACGCGACGATGGGTCTTCGGAACTGGATCACACGACCAATCAAGGGCCACCATATCGGGATAGAGGACTTGACCGCAGGCGGGAGCGGCATTCCTGTGGGTTATTCCTGTTCACACGCAATGAGTTCACTGCTTGTAGGTGTCTTGCTGATCTTAGTGACAGGAGATAAGGCGTCGGCGATGGACGCTCGCAACAATCGATTCAGCACCCTTCCAGGTCTGGGTAGTGGTAGTCGCTGGCATCGGCTTCCTAACAGATGCGTTCGGACTCTTCGCCTTGAATGTCGTTACTCCTATGTTAGGTTACGTCTACTGGCCTAACCACGACGAAGGTGGTATACCCTCGGTGCCGTCCTCGGTCAAGACGGCCATGATGTGTTCAACACTTGCGGGTACAATGGTAGGTCAGATAGGATTCGGCTTCGCAGCAGATCTTCTGGGCCGACGCAAGATGTATGGGCTCGAGTTGGTAATCATTATCGTCGGTACAATGTTGCTACTCATGAGTTCGAACGGAGAAAAGAATAGCATGGCGATTGGAGGGTGGCTAATCACCTGGCGAGCGATTATGGGTAAGAAAGAGTGACCTGGCTCATGGATTCTTGATAGTACTGACATTACGGAGGCATTGGTATCGGGGCTGACTACCCTTTGAGTGCTGTATGTATCGATATCGAGCGTGCTCGTCGCTTTACTGATCGTGAAATAGGTTATCACTGCGGAGTTCGCTCCTCGCAAGCACCGTGCGCGCATGCTGAGCTGGGTTTTCTTTGCTCAACCTGTTGGACAACTACTCGCCAATGTCCTGTCGCTTGCTGCAGTAGAAGCGTACAAGCCCTGGATCAAGAATAATGTAGGATCTTGTCAACCTACCGACCTGGAGTGTTTTCGAGCTATCGATCGGCTGTGGAGACTTGTCATCGGCATTGGCGTTGTGCCGGCTCTCATTGCTCTCGTATTTCGATTTACAATCCCAGAGAGCCCGAGGTACACACTGGACATCTTGCAAAACACGAAAGGTACTCTCGAGGACACCGCGAACTTTTTCGGCGCGCCCGAAGCGAACCCTGAACATGGCGAGGTCGAATTATTGAATGTGCCTGCTTCATCGGAGAGCCGAAGGCCTGCTTCGAGGCATTCAACTACTTCTTCAGTGATTGCACCTGACGAGGAGGTTGAGAGCGACAGTGAATCCGAGCACCGACTCAGTAACGTGCATCTTCGTACCACTGCAGCACCGCAGGTCCAGCTTTCTCCAGGAGATCCAGAGTTTTCCCCTCCACTCGCCTCATGGACCGATGCAAAACAGTTTTTTATTGCCGAGAAGAATTGGCAGTACCTACTGGGAACCTCGTTGGCTTGGCTGTTTCTCGATTTCGCATGTGAGTAGACCACTAAGCCGCTGCGACAGACTTACTGACTTTGAGGCAGTCTATGGGCTGGGTCTATCCTCACCAGAGATTGTCAGACACATCTGGCCGGGTGGTATCAAAAATGAGTCATCTGTGTACCAGACACTGAGCGATAACAGCAAATATACCCTGGTTATGGTTTCCACAGGGACAGTTGTGGGTGGTCTGCTGATGATCAAGATCGTCAAGTATGTGTCACCGAAAGTGATCCAGTTCTGGGGGTTCCTGGTTCTGTTCGTACTCTTCATCGTAACCGGGAGCGCTTGGACGAACTTGCTCGACAGCAGTCGATCAGGACTGATGGTACTGTATGTGATCAGTCACATCGCCTTCAACCTAGGGCCGAATGTGACGACATTCATCATTCCTGCTGAGATCTTTCCGACAAGATATCGGTGTACCTGCCACGGGATAGCTGCTGCTAGTGGAAAACTCGGGTCTTGGGTAGTGCAGATCTTTCTGGCGTATGCTTTCCAATCCGACAAGTCTAAAAACCAGGACGATTTCAGATGGGAACGACAGAACTTCGGGCACATCTTACAAGTCATGAGCGCGTTCATGGTAGCGGGTGCTGTGACGACATATTTCTTGGTCCCGGAGACGAGGGATCACGATAATAAGAGTCGAACACTGGAGATTCTGGCATGCGGCAAAAAGGTCATTGATGAGCTGAACCGTCAACGGAAGAAGGAAGATGAGGAGGACTAAGCCTTTAGTGCGTTCGGTAACGCGAAAGTATTTTGAATCAGTCCAGGGCCTGGTAACCTTAGTGCAAATGTGATGATGCCATGGCGGGCGTGTTCGTGGGTTCATGTTGGGCTTTCGCAATCAGTTGTCCAGCCACCTAGATATGACGCACCACTCTTAGACACTAGTCCCACTCGGTACTAGACGAAACCCCTCCTCCAAGGTGCCGCCCTCCATTTCCGAACTCCTACAGTTTCGAAGTCTTGAGAAATCCAGGGCTATGACTTGCAACTCCCTCGACCAGTAATACGAGACAAATTGATAAAGACCGGTCAACACCCCTCAAATGTACTCAATTATGAGAACAGGATGAGCGGAATTACCTGTAGATCAGAAAGAAATGCATAAGGTGTGAGTAGTATGGAGTAATAAATATTTGTTGAACATCCTTGGTGATTGAGAATTGCCTACTTTTGCTTCACAGCTTCATCAACCCTCTTTCCTTTCTACTGCCAGATCAATGTAATCTTCTTCCACCACGGCCCTTTCACTGTTCTTGCTGGTACTTCCTCAGCGAGAACCTGATCCAAGCCTGTCTTCATGTCCACCTCCGCTGGATCATAAGCCCAGGTATCGCTCCAGGCCCAGATCCGGTGTCCTCCATAGAATAAAAAGAACATGGGAATACCAACGTATGCAGTGAAGAAAGAGCTGACGTCCCACTTCTCAGGCCAGAAGACATCAAATCCATTGATCAAACACAGGAAGGTGAAGCTAACGATAACGCACCAAGCTCCCCACTTGTTGACTGGTGAACGATATGGCAGGTCGGTGATATTTTGCGCTTCACAAGCTTTCCGGAAACGCAAAAAGATGATGCCGCAGCAGATCCACGAGATGAAGCCAGACGTGTTTGTCAAGTTGACGAACCAGTTAAAGACGACGGCGCTCTCGCTGCCTACGTTCAGGTATGCTAGGGCACAGAAGAGTGAAGACGCTGTAACAGCCCAGTATGGCACACCAGACTTAGTGCATGATTTGAAGATGGAGGGCGCGTTACCAGAAAGCGCAAGCGCATATAGGGAGCGCGAGGAGAGGAAGAGGAAGGAGTTTCCTGATGACCAAGCACTTATGATGATACCGGCGTTGATAACGCTGTCGAGTACCCTAGATGCGTGTATACGAGGTCAGTGAACGGCCCACAATCAGTTCGTACAGGGCCACTTACGGAATACCGGCGTTCTTGATGCCTGCGACGAATGGTGACGAACCGGCACCAGAT